AGATCCGGCTGGCTTTTCACAGGTTCCCACCGGTTTGGAGGTTCACCGGCCCAACCAAGGCTTCAGCAGCCTTCCTGAACTGCGGCCAATACCAATTGACTTGACTGTTGGTTATATACCACAGCTATCAAGGTTTGTTTGGGCCGCAATCCCTATTTAGCCAGGTAGTCGTCCTATTTGCCAATGAGGGCGTGGGGCACATGTTTGGGATCCGAAGGGACGGGCAAAATAAGCCAGCGGCACTCTGTTGCAACGAGCCCTGGCGGGCAGTTCAGGGGGCAATGCCGCAAAGCCAGCGGCCGTGGGAGCAAAAACGGGGCATCCGGTTTTGGTTGGTAGGCTTGAAAAGGGAAACCCTCCCCAAACAAAGAAGGAAAAGGAAAACAGGGCACCACGGGGCCAACTGGGGCCAGTGGCACGGAAGTTGGAACCCGAGCCGCCTGTGGAAGTCCGGGATGGCCCAGCTGTCCCAAAGCTTCTGAAGCTTCTCTGTAAGCCTCGGCTGACACCGAATCACCCCAAATGCCACTCAACCAAAATCCAAAAAAGAAGAAAAGCCACCACATATCATTGGATCCCCCTTCGAAACCCAAATTTTAGCTGCCTTTCTTTGGGAGCGACTGCCCCATACAGCAGCGTTGCCGACCAGTACCCAAGGCGCTCTGCAACACGATCAGCCGGCACGGCCTCAGCTCGATGCTCTCTGCGCTTCTCGCGCTTCGGGAAAGCCCTTGGACACTCGCTTTGGGCAGAGAGAAAAAAGCAAACACACACACGCACAGGTACCAATCGGGGTTCAATCCGAGGGTTCAAAATGTGAGTTCATACATGAAGCCATTGACCACCGCGATAGGTTTGGCTTCGTTGCTCGAGGCTTGGCTGGGCTGACTGCAGCTTCGCCCATGTTTCAATCATGCCTGGACCAGGCTTAGACCCCCTGCATTGTCTGTTGCTTGCTGTTCAACGGGGAATTGACAAGAAACCACGAGGGAACTCAAGTAACAACTGCACCCTTCCGACAAGCAAGCCCTCCGGTCAGCTTCCATGATTGTTGGAGGCTGTTATCAAAGAAGCATCCATCCCATTTTGGCTGCCTCCTCTATGTTCCCAGGAGCACTTAGCGACGGCTTGCCTTTTGGGGGGACCACGTCCACTTCCAGCAGTCAGAGCGGGGGTAGTTTGACAATTTCTGCTTGGCATCGGCCACATGAACCCCCAAAAAGGAGCTTCTGTACGCTAAGGTGCTCTTCCCCCATGAGTTTAATGGGACAGCCACTTATTTGTAAGGTGTCATTGGGGCTATGTGTGTTCCTTCGGTGCAATGGGGCCCTGAGGTCACCCCAAGGACCGGCCAAGCGCAAAGGTCTTGTTGGGTTCCGTGTCAGCACCCACGACTCGTGGCTTGCACTGCTGCCGGCCAAAGCGAGCGGCGATTTGCCGGGTCATCCTGTCCTGACGCCGGGCGATATGCCCGTCCTTGGGCCCATGGTGGGTCTCAAAGGGTCCTTGTGTGTGTGTGTCTGAGCTATTGTCCCCGGGGGAGGGGGGAGGCAAAGGTCTGTACACGTTTTCTGTAGTTCGGGAGGGTGCTGAACCTAACACTGGGCTGAGGTGTTCAAACGTACATTCATCAAATACAACAAAGTGCGCGGATTCTTCCACAGCAGGAGGGGTGGTCATGGAATTGTGACAACTCACCTGCACAATGTACTAGCCTCAAAATTGAAATAGCGCTCAAGCAGCGCGAAAAAACATGGCAGGAACAGTTCGCGGCATTCTTTGGTTCCTCAGATTGAGCTAGAGGTGTGTTTGGGATCTGTTGCAAGCTTCATCGCGGGATAGGACCTTGATAAGCCCTTCTGGCACCAACGGCCACGAACACCGGCAAAGTATCCCCGAATGACCTTGAATGGGTGTCTATTGAAGCGAGCCAGAGCAACAAACAAAGGACAGAAATCAGCCGGACCAGGGCTGTGGGAAATGGAACCCACTTCTGTGATACAAAAAAAATGGCCGAACCCCAAAGACATTTTCCCCCCCATAACAGGGGTTTCCCAAAAGTATCACAGTGGTATCGGATGAACCCCTTGTGATCAACCACAACCTCCGAGGCTTCAGGTCCAGACTCTGAGGCTCAACCTCCGACGCAAGAAAATCAGCGCTGGATCCCCCAAAAAAAACTTCAGCACTGGGTGGCAACTCCAGAGTCCCGAGGTCGCCAAGAGATGTTGCCCAGTTGTCCATGCGATCAACCATCTGTGCTTGCCTAGAAATGCAAGGATACTGAGACTTCTCATCCAGAATTAGAAACATTGTAACATTGGGACTTAGGCTCTCCTTCAAAATGCATCAACTACTGAACCCTTCAATTTTGCCACCTGTATCCTTTCATATGGCCAGTACTGAAACTCCTGTGGCTCATAGTCCTTGCTGCCTTACTCGGAATCCTCGCAATCGTCGGACATCCCTTCCTTTCCCATGACCCGTGGCCTCAAGAAAGGCGGCCTTTTGACCATGGTGTCTTTTCTGGGGGAACCCCCGGTTGGTTTAAAGGGAGCCAAAACACAAAAACACCTAATTCAATCCGTGGATCCGCCAGAAAAAGACACACCCATATGGACCTGCACCCCTGTATAACCAATTCCCGTTTGCCATCCCTTTTCAGCCGCGCCTGTGCGCATGGCAGGCGCCCCACGATTTCAGGGCTGCCGTCCAGCTTGAAGGCGAACGCGCACAGGCCGCGGCGCGAGCACTTGGGCGAACACATCCCAGGGGGTCCGCCTTAAGGGGGGCAAGGGGTTCTGAAATTTGATGTTGCGAGCCTTCCACTGAACAGATAGGCTCTGGCAACTTGTGACTCCCATCTTCGATGGTCTCATGTTAGGTAAGCAGGTTGTGAGCGTGATGACATTTGTTCACCAATACCTGTTCCCATAGCCTTGACAGCCAGCCAGGCTCTTCCGTTTCACCCGATCTGCCGATGTGCTGGTAAGAAATCGACTTCTCAACACGTGGCGGAAATGCGGGCAAGAAGAAACCCTCTTAAACCACGCCTTCAAGGGGAAGGAGGGAAGGAAACAAAAAGAGAAAGTTGGCGACAAAGAGAACAAGACACACAAGCAGGATAAAGAGACGGATAAAGACAAACATAAATAGACATGTAAAGATAAACATAGAATCGGAAAACAAAACAACAAGGAACGATAGGGTAGAAGAGATGGAAAAGGGAAGGGAGCTAATACAACAAAACCTCACAGGACATGGCTGAATCGCCAACGTAAGCACACCAGTCTTCCAAAGGCCAGGCACTTCAGACTTGCCAGGTCAATACAAGATCAACACTTGGTAGCAAAGAAGTGTACCCCAAGCAAACACATGTAAACACCCAACAGAGCAGGTGCAGCGGAGTGTGGGATCGGTGAGAATCATATTTCAAGCCGTGCGTCAAGGTGAGAACCAAGCAACCCCAACCCAAAGGCCATATTTCGGAACTTCAAACATCACCCCAAAAGGAGACTCGCTTCAAATGACCCCCAACACGTGATGTTCAAACAATCCCAGCAGGAAACAACTGGGAGCCCTGACGGCTCAAAGCCCAAGCCCGGACCCCATCCGGTCCCAGGCAGGCTCACCGGCACTTCCACACCTGAGCTCACGCTTCAAGAACTCTGGGTTTCTGGGCGGGGGTCGGTTAGGGGCCACATACCTCCCCCCCCTCTCTGCAATTGAGTCGACATCGAACTGTGATCCCCATCCAGCCACCTTAGAGCTGAAATCCTAGGTTGACATGGAACCACGCAACACGCACGAATGTTGACACTCTTTTTAGGTTCTATGTTCATCTGCAAAGTGTGGCCCTGGGCTTATCCACATGCCTAGGATTTCTGCAAATAGCGGACGCCGCCTTGGATGGTGCTCCCGGCAAATCACAATCAAGCCGGTGGATCGCTTGCTGGTTGAGGGTTGCCTCACCCGGATCAGAAACCCCCCCACCGATGGATGTGCACACACTGATGGAAAGGGTTTGAAAGCATGAAGCCATCACTCTGGACTTGCGGTCTCAAGTCCGAGGATTGTAGCCATCCTGATCCATGGAACAGTTGCGCTCGCATGCAGGTCCCACCAGACAAGCCTGCATAGCCTGCTGCTTCATAAAGAGCAAAATGGAGAAACAAAACAGCGACACTCGCAGTGGAATTAATCTGCATGTGCCCAAAGCAAACACGACAAAGCATATCTTGAGTTATCTAAAGGGTTGTGCCTCACATCTTGCTTCACATGCATGCGTCATGCAAATCGAACACTTCCCAAAAGGCATTGTATGTCTGACCAGGCTGCATTTGGGCAACGCAATTTATGAAATGGAAAGTATTGCCCCTTCGCCTACCTCCCACTCCCACAAACACACAGGCTTGGTTTATTTAAACTGCGTCACACAAAAATCAATTTGTAAGCGATGCCAACAAAAAAGAGAGACTTCTTTGAGCATCATGGTGAACATGAACATGCCTGCACAGGATACATGTGTTCCGTCCACAAGCCCATGCGCTCCATCAATGGGACTTATCAACCCGCAGGTGGTCAGGCGCACAGGCGCCCAACCACACCATCGCAATTTTGTTTGCCCCTGCTTGATTCTCGCTGGTACGGCAAAGCTATCGTAAATGTTACGCCGCAGACGGCCCTCTAAGCGCGAACTCCCTGGCCATGCATGTGTAAAGGCTGTTTGGGTTGGCCGCGCTGAAGGATTTGCCAATCCGGAAAATCCACGATCCCTGGCACAATGCGATGTGAAGTGTGAAGAACTCCTCTTTTGGGGCCCCAAGTCCCAAACCCAAAAGGTAAACCCAGCAAAAGGGTCATAGCCAAAGGAGTCAGTCAGAGCTACGTGCGAATCGAGCCCTCCATCAGTGGCGGTTCGGAAATATTGCATCTCCAGAATGCAGGTCGTGGAGCAATGATTTAGTTGGGTGAACCTACCGGATGCCAACTTCCAAGCATGCCTGAAGGCGCGCTTTGCCAAACCACCACGCGGGTCGCTGTTCAATTGGCGCAGTGAAACTAACTGCTCAGCCTGGCGTGCTGGGGCTAGCCTGGCAGTCACGTCTCCCTATACGCAGACATATTTACCATGTTTCCCGAAAAGACATGGTGTGCGGGAAATTTGGGTTATCCACTCAGGTCCTCTCAAAACCAACTGTACACTACACAAATCTTCGGTTGCTCATAATCGTTGCAACTCGCCATCCGTCGGCTGAGGCGCGTGGGCAGGCGCAACGTTTCATGGAGGTTCATCTGGGTGTGTCTCAGAAATTGAATAGGGCTCCCAAGGCTTGGTTGCTGTTGACCCCGCTTGCAAACAGTTTGTTTAACTTTTTGGGGGTTTAGTGGACAACCCCTTTATTTTCCAAAAAAAGTTAAAGTCTAAAGATCCAACCCAATAGGAATCAAGAAGATGGCTGGACTTCTTTCGGTTTCGCTTTCATTGCCCACGCAAAGGCGGCCCAGCATTTTGAGAAACTGCCAGCTGGCCGTTCCAGCGTTGCATTTGGAGGCATTGGGTGGAGAACAGCACAAACACCAAACTCGCCTGGCGTGCTAATGACCATTACACAGCCCCCCTCAACCGCTTACTCTGCGCCAACGAAGGCCTTAGTTCTGGCCCTCCAAAATCGCCAGGAAGTTGCAGCCGAGCACCAGGTCCTGGTGGATCGAAGTGCCATCAACCAATTTTTTTGCATGGTGGCTTGAGGGGAACATCACCCCAAAAGCAACATGTGTTCCCATCAGAATGACCTGTATGGTGGCTTGGAGACTGCTTGAAGGGAAGGGCACCCCTCAAATGCAACTGAGATTCGAGCTCAGTGCTAAACAACTTGCATATTCGGGCTGAGAGGGTTGGCCCGAAAATGGCCGAGCGGTTCACATCCGCCTCAAACGAACCGTCTTCCCACAAAAGGGTCTCAAGTCCATAAACTGAAGGCAGGGAATGGGGTTGCTGGACATACCTCAAATATAACCCACTTGCTTACCCTGACGTGGGTTGTCCTCAACACCGCCGAACGTCCTTCACCTCCTTGCCAAACTTGGTACTCAACAGGAAGCAATAACATACCTATCCTCGGTGTCCTGCTGGGAAGATGCAACTTGACTTTCTACTTTTGAGTTGAGCTCTCAGCAATCCATCTCATATAGCTAGCGTGAAAATGAAGAGCGCCGTTTTAGCATTAAACCCACACGAGGAGCACACATCTTGCCGACTTTTTTACGTCGCGTGGCCATTGTACTTGATGCTTGGCTTGTCTAAACAAAAGCAGAGGGCTTTTCTCGGCCGTAATGCAGGCCAATGTAACCCAATGCTGCTTCTTAAGTAGAACAACAATCACAGGCAGAAACAAGCTGAGTGATCAGCCTCTGCTGAAAAGCACGCCTTCAGGAAAGAAACCTGCCTAGGTAAGGCCAGGAAGATGCAACTCATCCCTGGTTATCTCGACTTAAGCGAACCCCCTACATTCATTTAGTACGGCCACTTGCATTTCTCCACTGCACGTAAGTGCCTGCTCTGCCACAATATAATTAAGGTGTGCGTATGATGCCAGCGGAGCCTTCACAAAACCACGCGCGCACAACAAAGGATCAAACATGAGCAGGCCAGCGGCGTTGCGAAATTGCGCATTTGGCAGTGACCGTGGTATAAAAAGAAAACCCGTTGTGGGGTTGACCCTTTTAGTGGGAAACCCACCAAACATAAAAGGGGACAAGGGTGCCACTGAAGAAATGGGACATCAAAAGGCAGTTTGCCCAGTCGAGGAGGCGATAGTGAAACTGTGTCCCTTTAAATTCCTTGGTTCTGAAAACTGGGGAATGGTTATACATCGAAACATAGGTCCTAAACATTCGCAGAAGTCTACAGCCACTATGAACAACTCGTTTTTCGGTGGTGATTGTGGTTGACGGAAAAACACTAACCAATCTGGGCAAATTAGTGCGACATTGACAAACTGGACATCCGGAAGCCCAGAAGAACGGCACCCTCATCATGGGCGAGCTCTTTTTTTTACTCGCAGCTGAGCTCTCATCAATCAGATTGAAATCAACAAAGCTCCATCCAACAAACCTTCTGCCTCATACCCCCACCCGGCCAGCTCGTTCTAACTTGTCCACACCCGCACCCCGACCCTGTCTGATTCGGAGCCATGGCGAATGAGCCGTTGCAGCCCAGGTGCCATGTGCACCCATGTGCACCATGGCGCCCTTGTCAGTCTGAATGAAAATTGGGCACCCTTTCCCACCTCCCCACCTCCCCACCTCACCTCTCCCCTCCCCGGCTCCCGGAGAGCTTGCCGCACCCGCTTGGCGCGGTTCCGCAGCAGTGCCGGCAACTTCACCGCCTGAAGCGGAAGTCCGAGCACAGCCAAATCAGGAAGACCCAGAAAGTGAGGCGTGCTTCTCCTTTGGACTCCTCTTCAAGAAGCTCAAGTAAAACGGCCTCAAAAGGCGATGTCTGTGCATGAAAATGACAGCTTCTTAATTTTTAGGGCCCACAAGTTGACTTCCTCCTTGTTTCCCCTTACCAACAAGGGGCAACTTAGCTTGGTTGACGTTGGAAGGGGAGCAACAAAATGTTTCTTAGCAGTTAAGTGGGGATTTCAACCACTAAACCACAACAAGCAAAAATGGGAAAAACAAAAAACTGTTTCCCAACAACGCCCATGTTAAGGGCACCATTGATATTCTCAGAACCCATCGCTCAAAATGACTCGCCGATCGCCGGTCTCCCGTCGCCCGGCGCCCTCCTTCACCGGGCGCGTGCCGAGACCAAAGAAGGGCGCCACGCACTCGGAGAGCAGCAGCAACACCTGGGCCCGTTGGATCCCTGAGTCCTGCGGTGTCTCTAAGGAGGCTACCCATGTTCAGCTTGGCTTGAAGGGACACATACAACGACAACCACACTGTTGTTTTTTTTGTTCTTTCTGTTTAACTTGCGTGGTATTTTTATTATTGTTTGCTTATTTGTTCTTTTTTTTTGGGGGGGTGTGGTGTTGCCGTTAGTTTGACACAACAGCAGCAAATGGGCTAGTCTTGGATCCCCTAAGGTACTGCTTTTCCCCTGGTCCCCTTGCAAAATGGACCGCCGTTTGTGTGCCATATCAAGTCGCTGGCTGGAACAAAGGCCGTGCGATAACCAAGGGATGGACAAGGAACATGGTCCAACAGCAGTTCTTCAAACAGTTCCGATGGTAATTATTCCCCCGTTCAGCCAAGGATTGCATTGCTGATGACCCCTATCCCGGCCACAGAAAAAGCAAGCGCCGATCAAAGCATCCCTCCTTTCACAAAAAATCGGCCACGCCTCGTTCGTGTATTCCTCCGGCTGCTCAAAACGTCGCTCCTGCGGAGATCCCTCAAGCCTGAGTGGAGACCCACGACAAGTCAATACTTGATTTAAAGTAATGTGATGGAATGTAATGCATGTTTAGAAATGTATATAACGTGATGAAAGGTCCGGCACCACCTCTCAGCCCTCAACTTGATGGTTGCCACACAAATGGTCTTCCCCAAAACTGTCACCAAGTCCAGGACCTTAGGGGGTGACTCCACGGCTCTCCTCGAGCTCGGCCAGGCATTCTCTCAGCTCCTGCAAGCACACATCTCACGCGCGACCGCTCCCCGGTGGCAACCTGTCCTCTCCGAAAAAGACATGAAACCGGTTTTTTAGTGGGGAACCCACCGACGAGAAAAAGGGTGCCACGGAACAACCTGGGAATCTTTGACCTTTGACTTCGGCGGGGCGTAACTCGTATATCATACTTGTTTTCCGACCAGCCTTACAAATTTGGTGTTCAGAAAAGTAGGCGACTCCTGCAAAAGGTCGGCTTAACTCCAATTGAAAGCCAGCTGCACTGGGGATTCTCCAAGCGGGACATGCCTGTTTCGTTCGCCGTTGGACGTCAAACAAACGGCATACAACCACGGAAACACACAACCGTTGGCAAACATCGGCGTTCATGATCGTCGACCATGGTTTAAGTTGGTGTGGAGGGCATTGAAGAAGGCAAGTCAAGCCTCATGTGTTGCCTTCGTTGGGCTGGTAAACTTAGATTGAAGACTTGATCTGGCGCAATGTTAACCCCTCCTCCCGGCAAAGGTTCTAGGAGACCTTTGCTTTCCTCCACAAGCTTCTCGAAGGGGATAAAATACGAAAATTGAGCCGGATGAATCAACAAGCTATGATCCATATGTGGTGTTCTACATTCTAAAAATTAAACGCGCTAACCATGCTAACCAACTATCTTAGCTTCTCGCAGGCCTCTAAGGCAATTGTAGCTAGCTGCTTTGTCCAAGCTCTATCCGGGTGCTTTGGGTGTCTGTAGGTGACCAGGAATCACCCATCGTGCAAAACCTAGAGCTAAGAAACCTGGGTTGTTTTTTACCCGGCGTGGCTTGCCTGGAGGCACTGGCTATAGCCTCCCTACACTTCCTGTGAAGGAAACTCGTTCAAATCGGCTTGAAAGGTGATTCTAGAAGCCACCAAGTGGTCCTTCGGGTCAAGTAGCCTGGGTTTGGGCTACTGCGTGTGCAAGAAAGTGTTTGACTTGTTGTTGATTTGGTGAGAGGGAGTACAACCAGTGAGCGGTTGGGCACAGCTCTTCTCCACCAACTAGCTATGAATCTAATAGGGGACCAACCTCTCAAGTTGGTGGACACTCCCGAATGTTGATGTCGGGCCCAACCAATGAACATTCATACCCACATGGGAGTGTCTTTCTTTGGGAGCACCCACCAAAACAATAACTGTCCATCTGGCTTCCCTTTGGAACCAAAACTGGGCGGGGGGGGGGGGTAGTTTATCCTCTAAAAAAAAGACACCTGATTTCCTGAGTGGAGTGGCCAAAAAAGAAGCAACACTTTTCCTTGGCCACTAAAACGGGCTTCCCAAATATCCTCCCACCGATTAACATGGAACCTGACGTTCGGGAATTGCTGGTTTGAGCAATGTTCCTTTCAAAGGGACCGGGTCCCGCACGTCAGGTTCCATGTGTTCACCCAAATGGTTGCTACAGCCACCAGACCAAAAGACAATGTTCCTCCTAAGGGGACCGGGTCCCGCACGTCAGGTTCCACGTTCGTTGGTGGGTAGCTTCAAGTCCATAAACGGTCTTCCACAAATACGCTCCCAACCTGGATTGATCCAGTCCATTTTGTTTTTGCGGCTAGAATGGTCGTCCGAACCACTTTTATAGAGCCTTTCAGCTCCAGGCGTGAGACTCCCAACGAGCCAGCCGGCCGGGCCTTCGAGGCGCCCAGAGAGGCCAAGATCACCTGGGTGGCGCCCTCGATGCCCAGGCGCGCGAACTCCGTGAGCTTGGAGATGCGGTCCACCTGGACCCGACCCGACCCCGGCCCTTGCCGGTGCCGGCCGGTGCCGGCCGGCTCCCGACCCAAGGTGCTTTCGGGAAGACAAAGAGGGACCCGCTATTTGTTGGTTTGTGTTTTCCATATTTTTTTGTTGATTTATGTTGTTTCAACACCAAGGGCGAGAAATATGTGCCAAGCACTTGTATTTTCATAACCAAGTTTGGATTTTTTAAGTACTACCCTGCCACCGAAATCCAAGTCTTGTGGCCTCACCCCAGCCGCCAGCCCCCCCCCCCCGGCGGAAACCCCGGCCGTCTCGGGGTTGGTGTCTTGGTCCTGGCTGAGGAAGCGCTCCGCTTCCGCCACCAGCCGCGGGTCCTGGCCGTTATAGCGCGCGTCACGCCCAGAGCAAAAGCCCAAAATCAAACACCCAGCCCTGCCCCCCCGCCCCTTGCTCAAATAAGAAGCAGGGTTTTCTTCAAAAATCGGACAACTTGAACAAAAACAGGGTCGACCGCTGGAAGTCAGAAAACTCCGAACAAGTCAGCCAAATCAGCCCTTTGGTTTGCTGAAAAAATTAACCAGCAACAACTCCACAAGACGAGGGAGCTGTTGGGGTTGTTTGTCTGCCCCCTTAAATATCACCCATGCGAAGCTCAAAATGGCAACCAAATGGTAATCTCTTCCCCCTATTAATGAATGACCCAATTAATAAACTAGACGACGAGTGGCCCGGAAGCATAGAGGCAAGTTGATGCAGGTGAGGTAACTCTCGCAAAGTTAGCATGAGGAGTTGGCAGGCGAAGCAATTCTCAAAAAGTTGGCATGAGAAGCTGGCAGGTTAAGTAACTCTCGAATAGTTGGCTGGCAAAGTTGGCGGGTGAAGTAATTCTCGCAAAGTTGACATGAGAAGTTGGCAGGCGAAGTAACTCAAGAGAAAAGTTGGCATGAGAAGTTGGCAGGTGAAATAACTCTCAAAGAGTTGGCATGAGAAGTTGGCAGGTGAAGTAACTCTCGAAAAGTTGGCGTGAGAAGCTGGCAGGTGAAGTAATTCTCGAAAAGTTGGCACGAGAAGATGGCGCGTGAAGTAACTCTCGAAAAGTTGGCGTGAGAAGCCGGCAGGTGAAGTAACTTTCGAAAGTTAGCATGAGAAGTTGGCAGGCGAAGTAATTCTCGAAAAGTTGGCGCGAGAAGTTGGCAGGCGAAGTAACTCTCGAAAAGTTGGCAGGCGATGTTGGCAGGTGAAGTACCTCTCGAAAAGTTGGCATGAGAAGCTGGCAGGTGAAGTAATTTTGCGAAAAGTTGCCACGAGAGGTTGGCAGATAAAGTATTTCTCGAAAAGTTGGCATGAGAAGTTGGCAGGTGAAGTAATTCTCGAAAAGTTGGCAGGTGAAGTTGCCACGAGAGGTTGGCAGGTAAAGTATTTCTCGAAAAGTTGGCATGAGAAGTTGGCAGGTAAAGTAATTCTCGAAAAGTTGGCATGAGAAGCTCGCAGGTGTAGTAACTCTCGAAAAGTTGGCATGATAAGCTCGCAGGTGAAGTAACTCCTCGAAAAGTTGGCACGAGAAGTTGGCAGGTGAAGTAACTCTCGAAAAGGTGGCATGAGAAGCTGGCAGGTGAAGTAATTCTCGAAGTTTCGGCATGAGAAACTGGCAGGTGAAGTAATTAACCCTCAAAAAGCTGGAGCGGCGGAGGCGCTCCGCGTGCTACATTTGCAATTTACAGTTGCGATTTTCCAGCAATTTGTATCTAAAAGTTGCGATTTTCCAGCCGGAGCTGCGGGAGCACGCTCCGCGTACTACGTCTGTACTTAAAAAGTGCGATTTTCCAGCCGGAGCTGCAGCAGCCTCCGCGTACTACGTCTGTACTTAAAAGTTGCGATTTTCCAGCCGGAGCTGCAGGAGCACGCTCCGCGTACTACGTTTGTACTTAAAAGCTGCGATTTTCAAGCCGGAGCTGCCGCGGACCAGGGGGGAATCGAACCCGGGACCGCGGGATTGCGAAAGCAGGCGCGCACACCACGAGACAACTTCCAAAAGCCGTTTCGCGAGCAAGAAAATCGCACGGCGCCACAGCGAGAGCGCTTCGACACGCACGATCTCCGCAGAGGGTTCATCGGGCTCAAGACAGATGCGCACGGCGCCACAGCGAGAGCGATCCGACACGCACGATCTCCGCAGAGGGCTCGCCGCGACCAAGACAAATTCGCACGGCGCCACAGCGAGAGCGCTTCGACACGCAGGATCTCCGCAGAGGGTTCGCCAAGGTCAAGACAAATTCGCACGGCGCCACAGCGAGAGCGCTTCGACACGCACGATCTCCGCAGAGGGTTCGCCAAGGTCAAGACAAATTCGCACGGCGCCACAGCGAGAGCGCTTCGACACGCACGATCTCCGCAGAGGGTTCGCCGCGTCAAGACAGATTCGCGCGGCGCCACAGCGAGAGCGCTTCGACACGCACGATCTCCGCAGAGGGTTCGCGGGCTCAAGACAAATTCGCACGGCGCCACAGCGAGAGCGCTTCGACACGCACGATCTCCGCAGAGGGTTCGCCAAGGTCAAGACAAATTCGCACGGCGCCACAGCGAGAGCGCTTCGACACGCACGATCTCCGCAGAGGGTTCGCCGCGCTCAAGACAAATTCGCACGGCGCCACAGCGAGAGCGCTTCGACACGCACGATCTCCGCAGAGGGTTCGCCGGCTCAAGACAAATTCGCACGGCGCCACAGCGAGAGCGCTTCGACACGCACGATCTCCGCAGAGGGGTGCGTTTCGTAAGCTCCCGTCGGGCCTACCCCCGCCATAAAAAGAAGAAGAATTAAGAGTCGAGAAGTGAAGGTAGAACAGAAAAGTTAGCTTGTGTTTTTAGGATAGTGAAGTAACACCCGACAAATTAGCTTGTGCTTTTAGTAGAATGAGATAACAGCCGAAAAGTTGACATGAGAAGTTGGCAGGTGAAGTAACTCTCAAAAAGTTGACATGAGAAGTAGGCAGGTGAAGTAACTCTCGACAAGTTGGCATGAGAAGTTGGCAGGTGAAGTAACTCTCGACAAGTTGGCATGAGAAGTTGGCAGGTGAAGTAACTCTCGACAAGTTGGCATGAGAAGTTGGCAGGTGAAGTTGGCAGCCGCTTTTAGAAGAAGAACCCTTCGCAATGCTTCCGGGAAAAATGGAAATCCGGGGCCCGGGACCAGATTTCCACTCCGCACAAATGATTTTGAATTGCGCCAATACTAAACCAATACTAAAGTCTTGGAATCCTTATTAGGGGGCACTGTTAACAAGCTTCCAGCCCCACTTTTAAGCTGCGACTGTCTCTCCCCGTACATGCTGGCTAACCTGCCTGGCTGCAAACAAACAACCAGTAAACTGAAAAAAAATGATACATAAAATGTCCGTATTAAACCGCTTACTCGCGGACCTTACAATTCAATCCAAATCCTCCAAATCCTATGCGAACCCTCACATTGTTGGAAAAGCAAAAAAACCAACCACAAAAACCCTGAATAAAAAAAATAATACATTGTTGGGAGGATTTATTTATATAATAGGGGAGGGGGGGGGGCGTATTTATTAATAGGGGGAAGAGATTAGTCTTTGAATCACCCAAGGAAACCACTAAGTTAAAGACATCCGGCTGGTGGCCCCCAACAAACTCAGGTTGCAGATGTTGAAACATCAGGACAAAAAGAAGGGCCCCTGCGAAAACGGCGCTCTAGGTTGGGTTTTCCTGGAAAACCAAAGAAACTCATTGATGTGTGTTGGAGGGAAGCCTCTCAAGAAACCCAACCAAATACCTCTTCGGTGATTCTTTCGAGCAAAAGGTCGATGGAAACCGCACAGACCGCAGGCAAACGTAGAAACCCCAAGCGCTTCCTCGTCCAGCTCTTCCTCCGGCTCGTTCTGCTCCGGTTCGGCCTGTCGAACCGGCGGTTGGGTCGAACCGTGTCGACAGGTGTATCAAGCCCGCCACGCGCTTTCGGGCCGATGCCCCTGGTTTCGGCGGCGTCGAGAGCCCAAACTTGTGGCGCGCTTGTGACTATGTCCCGCCAAATGCTGTGGTTCAACCCTGCGCTTCACAACACGTGGTTGGCTCTAGAAACCTAGAAACTGGGTTCGGTTCGAACAGGGCACTCCTGATAGACTAACAAACCCACCATGCAGAACGCACGAGCCATTGTCTATTGGATAGCGTTCCGTTGAATGGTCCATTGCATGAAACGCGTGTGAGTCAGGATGTCAATGATCATGCTCTAACTCTCCCAAACTGCTTCAATTGAATTCCATGCAAGTGCGCACTCATGCGCAAGTCACTATTCTGGGAGCATCTTATTTCCCCCCTTGGTTGGTGCAACAATGGGTATGAACATGTTCACAATCATATGATCCAAAACCAGGGCTCCATGTGCAGTCCAATCTAAAGTCATTTGCCCAGACTCGCTGCATGATGCTGTTGCTCAAAAAGCCTTCTTGCCGCGTCATGATCACCATGTGGTAAAAGTCCAGGCCCCTGAATGGCCGACAAATTCAATTGCCCCCCAAAAAATAGCCCTACAGGGGTCCCTAACCACTTGAGCGTGGGTTTGCCAATGCAAAGTCCAAACTGTGCCTTTGCCATCAAAATGGCCTTTTCGAGAAACAAAGAAAAGAAGCAAAAACAAAACTTTGACTTTGCCATCAAAATGCTTTTTCTTCGAGGCGCACGCTTTGTGTATGTTGATCCCACTGAACCCCTCAGCATATTGGTTTGGGGTAGTGGAAGCCACTCAAATGGAGAATCATTGCCGGTGTCTCCAATTCCGCCGCACCTTGGCCTCTTCTTCCGCCGCCCGGGCCTCTCGCGCCGCGGCGCGCCGCGCCTCAGCGTTCTGCTCGTCTGGTGGCGGCGCAATCCCAGGGGACACCAAGAGAAGTGCTCTCAGGTTCTGCTTCATATGATGGTGTAGAAACATATGGAATATGAAAAATCTGAAAAAAATGCAGTCCATCTTGAAATATATGAAATGTATGTCCGGAGACCCCAGATACATGTCTTACCTCTGGGACACCCCACCCGAGAAAAACAACATCGTGACAAGTACAACTAAACAAGTGAGGCAACTGCAATCTCGAGAAGCTTACTACCCTTGACCCATCATGTTCTGAGCGCGCCAAGATGGGGCTGGGTCTGGGTGGCACTGCGGTTTGGAACCATTCCCAGTAACTTGACAACGGCGCGAAAGGATCCTGTGAAGTACCTGGACATCAAAGGCTCCTCCCTAGGTCATAAGACATGAATCGCGCCCTGAACACCAAACAGCAAGAGGTTGATGCGAGCATCGCCGCGAGCACAAGGGAATCCGTGAGCTAACGTCATTGGCAATTGGGAACCCCCAGCCAACCCGCACAACCTAACCCCTAACTCCAGCCCCTCCAACCCACCAAGCCAAAACGGGATTTGAAGCAGCCTGGCATCCTTGATCCCACCTGAGGATCTGCCCCAATCCCAGCAGCGCAGCTCCGTTTCGTGCCAAGAGGCGAACTGTTCCTCGATGGTCTCCTCTTCTTTGGCTTGCTCTGCTCTCAGCTGCTGCTCTCTTTCTCTTTCCTCCTGAAGTCGCAAAACAGAAAGCGAAGGGCTGGTGGGCAAAGTGCAGCACAATGCTGAATTAGACCCCGCCTTGGACCGCGCCCACCCAGCCAACAAGGACAACTTGGGTTCTGTTTCACCAACCGAACTCCAAGAGAGGTCGACCTTCATCAGGAGCGAATTCGGTTGCGGCCGCGACGTCTTTTAAGCCCAGAAAGCATGACCCACTTCCAAAACCAGCCAAACCCCTCCCCCAAAACACACTGGGGGAGGGCGCCATTGCCCAGGAAAGGGAAGCCCCCCATTCATAAGCCGCTTATGGGTGACGTTCAACGGCAACTGGGGCGTGGGTCTGCTTCCTTTCCGTGTGTTCTTCGTTTCAGGGATCATTAAAAATGGCCTGTCCCAAACAAGGGAACAAATACTTGGATGCTTGGATGGTAAGCCACGTCAGTAGGCTATATCCACTGCACCTCCACCAACTCGAGTTGCCTCTCATAAACAGCGAGCTGGATCCTGGAGTTGCTTAATCCTTCCCATTCATTCCCATTGATGTCAACCCCGGACTAATCAAAGGAGGTGCCCCCCCAAAGGCCAAGGATCCCCACTTAGATTCGACATGCCCTCAATTCATCAACCAGAGGCTGATGCATCCTGAATTCAAGCAATGGGTTCCCCATCTACAAGAACCAGGGATTGCTTTGTTCCAATCGAAACCAAATTTGAAACAACCTGCAATTAGAGCATCCAGAAACAGCTCGCTCATGGCTCGCTCCTTCTGCCGCAGCTCTCTCAAGCGCCGCCGCTCCTCCCTCTCCCGCTCCTGCGCTTCCGCCCGATGCAGGGCTGCCCCCGCTAGCCGTAGCAAAACAGTGTCAATCTTGAATGGGTCGCCCCCGCCCGGCACAAGCAGTCAGTTGCAAGTGGGAATCTCCTCGCAAATGGCTGGCAGGCTGGCAAGCGTACATCTCCAACCATTGTCCCCAAACAGCTCATACTCGAAGGAAAAAGAAGACTTCACATCCAAATGTTCGACTCTCCCCCATTGTGGATGATGGTTTGCCGCCTTACAGGGTCCCAAAGAAGGCTATAATTTTGTCAATGGCTTCAAATGGGGAACGTCTCCCCCTTTGACTTGACATGGGTTCCAAATTCATCTGCAGGGGAGCTGCAAACTTTTTGGACCCTCGGCGTTGCTCTGAGCCTCTAAATGGGGATCAACAACTGAAGGGTAGAAGATTAGGATTTGGTTTCCCTGCACCAAGGATGTCCAGGCCATTGGAGACGCCATAGAGAAAAGCTGAAATCTCAGTTGGCACCTACTTCCCACTCCCAGCGCCTGGGAAACCAAATGAAGTATGGCGGTGTCTCACCCCCTTCACAGTGGGGAAACTCACCTTCGGGACCAAAAGGCGAACTATATGGGTACCTCTATTGTTGAGGTATTTGGAAACCAAGAACAAAAACACAATTTGAGAGGGGAGGGGGGGGGGTCCCTGAAAAAAGACACACACACACAGCATATATGTCTAGGGGTAACTTCCCCATTCTTTCCAGGGATCCTTCTTTCCAGAAAACCACCAAAAACCCCCGGAATGGCTGGTTTTAAAAGAACAATGGCTGAAAAGAATGGACAAGGAATCAACCCTTAGAATGGGGATCTCTGCAGCCGCCCGAGGCCTGGCGCTCTCTTCTCTCTTGCCGCAGCTCTGGGCTGTGCCGCGTCTCCGTGGGTCGCATGCCTGCGAGGTTTACTGAGCTCACATCCGGTCACCGGACGTGTCTTAGGGAACCTCCGTAACTTGGTTGACGTTGGAAGGGGAGCAACAAATTCAAATCTTAGCAGTTAAGTGGAGATGTCCCACTAAACCACAATAAGCAAAAATGTAAAATGTTTCCCAACAGCAACCATGCGTAAGCCTCTGGCACTACACCCTGGAATGGTACTGGGAACTTGCTGCGTCTTGTGCTATTGCCAGATTGTTCCAGAAAAAAACTGATGCCCAAACACCGAAGACCAGGTCAAACCTTTTTTGGTTTGTTGATCAATTTAAAGGCAGAACCTGAAAGAAACAGGAGAAAGGGGACTTCCCCTTCTCCTTCAGTTGCTTTGTGCATCTGTGAGCTTCAACCAGGAGACATGGGCAAACATTGAAGAACTGTTCTGCCCAGTTACCAGTTGGAAAAGCGTGGCCAGTCCGTCGGCTCATCCTTTGCCTCGGGAAAAGTGAACCATCTCCTTGTGGCAACGCGTTCTGATGCTGGCACAACGTACGAATGCCCGAAAGATTGCAAGAGAGCAAAGACCCCCCACCAGCTTAGCGCTGTTGAGCGGCTGACAATGTGCCCATGTTTTCCGGCATGGTTTTGCCTAGCGCGGCTCGCGTCCACCGGGATGCACCAACTCCGACCGACCAAAGGACCCTGCCTGAGGCCCACATGGCGTCGAAGACCGCCTCCTGCGCCAGCTGGAGCGGGGTCTTGCGCCGGTACCGCTTCTCCTGGTCGCACGTTGGGCGACTTTGGCAGCATTTGGCCATGGGTCAAAACCCCCTACCCCCAGTGAACATCCCAATCCCCACTAAAATAGACCAAAATGGGTGGAGCACCTCCCCCAATATGGTACCATTGGTTTTGACCCACAGCGATTTGGGGGGGGGGGGGCAAGAAATCGGGGGACCCCTAAAATGTTTTTGTTTAGCTCTCTTTGGGCTTTCCTCTGAAGATGGCTGGCATTCTGTTGGCTTCCCTGTACAGTCTGTACAGTAAGGTCAGACAGGATGAACGCGGGGGTTGTTCAAGGGGATCGAAACTGACCTGCCCAGATAACGAAAGGCCAGAACAAGCTTGAAGCTTTTGGGAATGAACAAAACCGCTGAATCACATACCCAACAAAAAAGTTAAACATGCAAATGTCACAGAACTGAGTCACACAGTAGAAATCCGGTATTCAAGGATTGCTGGCGGTCAATGACCGAACTCACAAACTCGAAGAAACAAACGTGCCAAACAAAGACAGCGGTCTAGGTAGGTGTTCTACAACCACAAGCATGCCACCAAACAAGCCAAAACATACGTAAAGCAACAGCCGCCCTACATCTTTCCACCTTTTTGTTGTGGCCCACGACGGGAATGTCACTTGCAGCAGGATTGTGGGTATTTTTTGGCGGTTTCCAGGAACAGGCATTCGTACAGGGCCAATGACCCGTGACCTTGGCTTCCCTCTCCCTAGCAGGCCAAAAGTAAGAATGAAGAACTGGGCAACTGGATGCAGCCTTAGCCAAATCGAAACGACCATCAGTTGACCGCCCACCGTGAGCTGTCTCTTGGTTTTGCAGTTGGATCCAAACACGACGGCCTGCGAACAAGCAACAATCCCAGTTGCTCATCGACCCGGACAAATAAAGGAAACTCTTGCCTGGAACCAACCATTGTTTGACATCGCGCGGAGAAATCACAAAACAAACAAGGCACCGAAATGTGCCACTGAAAAACTGGGCAGTTGGAGCAAGCCAGCGGAAATTTGTTCGCTTCATAGGGCTTCATGGGGCTTGAAGGTGCCCCTATGCGACTCGCAACCACGGCTCGAAGTTTCCCACTTCCAATCAGAAGAATGCGTCACAGTTGAACGCAGGAGCACCAAATTCGGAATGATTCCGAGAAGGCATTGAACACGTCGTGAAGATCAGTGAGCCCTGTTTGACACAACCATGCCCAAAAACCAGCGAGTTCCTGCGAAATGGTGAAGCAGCCTGTTGCCGAAACAACGGCATGGCACCTTCACATTGTGTTGCTGTTCTCGCTCGATGGCAAGCATATCTTGGAAAGCATTAGGGCAAGTGTCACAAAGGCGGCCCCCAAACATGTGCAGCAAATGTTGGCGTTCCCCTTGGTGTTCCTTTCACAAACGCACTCACACACACACATTCACAAACTTGCTGCATGGACATCTGTTAGTGTCTCGCTTGCTGACAAGGACCGGGAAAGGCTCGCCTTTTGGAAACTTCACTAAATATTGTGGATAAAAGCTCGGCTTTGGGCAAGTGAGGTGTTAAACCGAACGGCAACATCGGCAACCCTTTTCTCGCCTTGCCTTGGGCGGAGCTTCTTCTACTTCCTCCGCTGGGGCCTCTTCCACGTGTTGCTTGCCAGAGCCGTCGCAGAACATGCACGCTGTCTTGCTCACCTCGGCAAGTTCTGGGCAAAACGAATAAACCCAAAGTTCCCAGACCTCTGCATGCTTGGCTACACTCATGTTGGGATGCCGCAACTGTGGGTTCCAGCACTGGTTGCACACTTGTAGCACTGCTGCAGCGCTTTCGGAGGGAATGTGCAGGCGGGGCATCAAAACCCAATCCACCGAACGACTTTGCCCCCCCCCCCCCCCCCGCGGCCATGGCGGCATTCAACTCTGATTGGCTGCAAGCTTGAGCAAGCAAACCAACCAATCACCTATGGACGAATGTGGGTATCTGTCAAAATAGGGGAACCCCAAAATGGCGGTGGTCTTCTTGGTTTCCCTTTAAACCAAACTGAAAAGGGCACCCTCAAGAAACATCGCCCAGGTGCGGCACCATGCTTGCTACGGTACCTTATGGAAGCAGTTTGATACTGAGCTATCCAAGGTTGTCTTTGGGTCTTTGCCAGGCGGGGGGGTGGGGTCTGATGAATCCGATTAAAATGAAGTGGATCCTATGTCTGTCCTCCCTCGTCTTTCACAGAGTGAAGAGCGGACCCTGCTGTTTGGGAGCCCAAGGCTTGCTATGTCCTCCGGTTCCCTTGCCGTGGCCGCTTCAGGAATGCCACCGAAACAACATGGCTGGTGGGAGAAAGGTAAGCAACACCAGTTGGTGTCGTATTGAAAACCCCAGAAAAAGTCAAATGATCCCCGTCCGGAGAACGCGTCACCCGTGCCGAGATGCCGCATTCATCCCGGTGCCGTGGCAGAAAGTACAGTCAGGAACCACTGCTTCCTCCTTCTTCTTGGACTTGCTGTCCTTACTCTGCGAATGAATGGAAGAAGCCCTAACAGTTTTGTTGGTTCCACGTTCGCCTGGGGTCCGAGGGCGACTGAGCTTGAACCCAAGAGCCTCAGCCACATGAAGACCTTTGAAACATTCAGTCTCTTCAGTATCAAGCAGTCAATTAAGCCAGGGAGAACAAGATGTTGCGCCGGCACACATACATTGAGCCATGCCATCATGTTTATGTCGTGAGCACCGCCCGCACAGTGACGATTGCTGGAAGAAGCCTCATAGTGACGAATTCTAGTGTTGCCTGACGACTCTGAAAATCACAAATTGTTCAGCTTAGGCGCATGAATTAGCAAATGCATACTACCGCAAAAGGACATGAACAGACTCTCGCACACGTTTCCCATGTACAGGTTTGGCCCCACCAACTGGCCAGGTCTGCATAAGCTTGTCGAGAGAATCCCCACTTCCCCGCCCCTTCGGGTTCCCAACAAACGAGGACTTTCACAGGGGCGGGGGGGGGCTGGAAATCATCTGACATTGTTGCCGTTTTTTCTACTCGAAGCAAGGGCACACCCAGTCAGCGTCATTTTGGCAGCTCAAACACGAGTCCTGGAGACGTTGTTTGACACCAAAAGCTTTGATTCCTTGGAATCTGGAAATTTGAGGCCCTGATGCCAAATTTTGCGGCTTCTGGAAAACAAAAGCATGAAGCCAGGGAAGCGAAAACCAGCATTTTCCCCTAGCCTGCTGATGGATTCCCGAGAAAAAACAAATAACCCCAGCCCTTGCTCCTGGGCTTTTGGTGGATGTCCGAAACAGAAAGGAACCTTGGAACGCCCAAGAAAAGTGACCGACCCGAGCATCTTCCTCATCCGTCTCCGTCAGCTCCTCGGTGACGTCCTGCAAGCAACCGAAACCAGCAACACAAAAAGCATGGTTGGGACAACTGTTTCCTGTGATGCCAAAGTAGGAAATCCCTCTACGGGGATTCCGTGGAGAAGCTGGCCCCACAATCGCGGGCCAAACGGGGTGTCGATTTCCTTGGATAATCCAACACTTGACCTGGAACGCCCCAAAAACGATCCATGTGTTGAGAAAAAAAAATGTGGAATGGAATCCATTTCAAGCTTCTTCCGTAACCTTGCAAGTGAGTATCCATTTGGACCCTCAAACTACCCTCAAAAGAGCTACATTGCACAAACAAAGGGGTGGTTTCCCACTTTTTGAAGGCAGGAGAGTCCAATTTTCCCTGCGCTCTCCTCAGGCCTAGGTCCAACTTCCCATTAAGTTTGCAACTCCGCCTGAAATACGAAAATCTTCCATTTGGTTGAGTCCCCTGGAAAAAACATCCAGGAGTGATAGATTCCCTCTAAAACCAACAGGGAAAAATAACAACTCTTCTTAAGCCAATGAAAGAAATGGGATCCCCACGCAAAGGACCTGCAAGGGTTCTGCTCGTTTCCCCCCCCCCCCCAGGCCCCCGCATCCGCGGACCGAAGACCGAGCTGACAGCTCCTCCGGCGGCAGCTGGGCCAAGCGCCCCACCTCCTCCGCCAGGTCCTCCAGCTCCTGACTCCAACTTTTGCTCCAAAGGCCGCGGGGCGACAGATGGACCGAGGGGCAACCGAAAGGTCCGAAGGTCGACTTGCTATTTTTTGGGAAGCAAACTTGTGAGTAGCCAGGACCCAGAAATGAAAGGTCAACCTGTGGGGGCCACTAAAAAATGGACCGAGGGGGAATTCCTCAAAAGGTCCAATGGTCGACTTGTTTTTTTTTGGAAGTGAGTTTGGGGCCCCCTCATTGTACAACATCCCGGACCTAGGACCTAGCGGACTCTTTGGCACTTGTTGAAAAGAGGTTTCCTGTTTCTCCCCTCAAACCATCACCAAGGGAAACTCGCCTTGGGCCAAAAATGATGCTTAAAACTGCACGGCTAGGATTGAACAGGGGAGCTACGCTCTCTGAAAGGAGACTCCATATGTCATGTCAAGAATAGTACCCTCTACATTGCGGTCTGAAGCCCCTGAAACGCATGTGGGACATGTTCCGATTGGACGTAATAACTCCAAACCTGAAATAAGAATTGGATGCCAAGTGCAGGGAGGCTTGGAAAGTGACCCGACAATGCATCTGGATTCAAGTTGCACAGAAAATAATTAACCGACCGGAAACATAGAATCATTTTCACAGGGCCTTCATCATGGGCTTGCACTCGTCTTATCCCTGGATCGAGAAGGGTTGGTCTGGAAGATGCATCTCAATTCCTGAGTGGATTTGCCAAAGAAGGGCCCAGCTGGTTGACAACAAGCGTCTTTCTCCAGCTATAAAGTCCAGAAACTCGGACAGCGAGAACCTCGGGGGTAGAAGGTCTGGATCGGAGGTCTACGTATAACAAAAATCCACAGGATCCGCAACGGCGGATATCCTTGCCGATGTTTGTTGGGATTTAGCGCTTTGGGGCATGCCAGGCGAGAAACTGCGCCCATCTGGATTAGAATACTTTGCCAACCTAAAATGGGAGAAGACCGGTACTTGAATGTACTGAAGCTGGAGGCAAAACAGGTGAAAAGGTCAGCTTTGTGGAAATGACCCCCATAGGCCGTGCGGGGCAGCCTTTTAAGGGCGTACCGCCCTCGAACCAGAGAAAGCCAGCAGTTTCTAAGCTTCGACATGGAACAAGCGGGGCTCAGGGTGATTGCGCCCCAAGTGCGGCATCCCCTGGCACAAACGCGGTTGAGTTCTACACGCAGGGCAGCATTCCATGTTGTGGACACAGCGGCTGGTTCTTTGGGTTTCATCCCACCCAAAGGTCAAACAAGATAGCAAATTAATTAGGCATGCGCTGGATATTGCCTTAAAACGGAACAAACAGAACAGCTCAACTTACCATGCGCACACTGTCAACAAAAATCGGCTGTAGTTTGGGTGCTCTCCATCTTTGACAGGAGTCAGTTTTCAAATTGAACTTGTGTGAGACACGGACTGTGTTATGCAGAGGGTTCCAACCTCTCTCCAATCTTGTTTCCTCAACATAAGACCCTGATGATTCACCCAATGCTGGGGCTTACTATGAAGGACCCAGGGTTCTCTATACCACACCCTGGCTGGCTTTCGCTGTCTTTCTCGGTCTCTTAGGATCTCCATGAGCAGCCTTGGGGGAGGCAACCAGGTGTATACTTGCCACGTGCTTTACATGGATTCAGCTGTGGGTCAAAACTAAACCACTCGAAAAAACCGCAGGTTTTAGTCCATATTTCCACTTACCGGTTTCCATGTTGGGTACCTATTTTCGACCCACAGCCTGGTGATTTCGACATTCGTATGGCGCCTCTGTGTCGGTGGCCTTGAGGCAAAAGCGCTCCAGTTCCACCCCGCTCCTGGGACAAACCCATCCCGATGGATCGGCCGATCTGCCCGATCTGCATCTCCAAGGCAAAGCCAACAGGGCGTCCCAAAACATTGGAATGTCCAGCTGAAACGCACCAACCAGTGTCCCAGAAACTTGTTTGGCAATCTCCTTGGCCTGAAGCCGGGGAAATGCTGTGGACAAAATCGCCAGCCGGTGCGGTACTGGCTGGATGAAACCACCGTTGAATACTGGTTCTGAACCACTACGGAAACCTCAAGCCTTCAGATGTGGAGGCTAAGGGAGGGGAAACGGCTGCCACTTGCGGCCGGACAAAAAAGGTTCTGCCTGCCGAGGCGCACCAAGAGGCCAAGACTCTCCACGAGCTTCCGCAGTTGCTGGCGCCGGGATTTGGCCACCCGCTTTGTCTCCTCGGACATTTTTGCGGAGATGCCAGAACGGGAGCCCTGAGATGGAAACCCAGGATATATCAACACCCCGGAGCAAAATGAAGACGGATTCGGCCTTAGGGTGGGGCCATTGCGAGACGAGCTTCTGCCAAACAGCTTGCAGCACCGCTGTCTTTTGTTGAGGGCATCTTTTTGGATGCTTCAAATGGAAACCGAAGAGGACACCACCCACTTTTGGGACTCCCCCTATTTGTTCTGACAAATGCGCCAAATAAACCCAGGTGGCATCCAACAGCAATCCCACGCAACCCTTCCGGAACCCTAGCCTAGAGCCGCTGGGAACACGGAGCCGGTTCTGGCAGAGGCCCAAAACTTGGGAAAACGGTTCTTCCCAAAACTTCGATTGGTAGCCAAAACTCACTTCCTGAGCGGATGGTCCAAAAACACGTCCAAACATATGTTGTTTCCCACTAAAATTGTCTTCTCAAAAAGTTTGAAGTCCAGGAACTCAAGAAGCGAGAAAAACTGCATTCAACACATGCCAAAACCAGTGATTCATTGTGGTCTGTCGAGCGCTTCCGCCCTCTCCTCCTGCTTCCTGAGCTCTTCCTCACTCGGCTCCTTGCGACGCTGTGGGGATCTCGGCGCTGAGGTCTTCCTGGCAGCTCGCGAAGCAGGAGCCTACTGGTTCGACTGGTTCAAATGGCTGATGGCTGTGGCTCAAAACCAATGGTATCCCATTTTGGGCTAGGTGCAGCACCCATTTTAGTCGATTTTAGTTGGGATTGGGATGTTCACTGGGGGTACGGATTTTTTACCCATGGCCAAATGCCAGGGTTTGAACAAAATAACTCTTATGTTGGTTCCAACATCACTTGGCAGGCAACAACTAAAAGTTCGGAAGCTTCAAAAGTTTGGTGGGTCAGTCAGGGAGGGGTCTGGGAAAAAGGGGCTATGCTGCTCACGTTCTCTCCATTTCATTTCCTATAGAGGGAGTAAATCAAATGACCATCGCACCTGGGCACTAAATGGCCTATGAGGCTATTCAGTGCCCAGGCCCGATGGTCGACCGCTTTCGAGTTGGCCAGTCCTGAAAAAGGCAATAGCATGCATCCTAAAAGGTGCACACAAGGAAGGAATTCTCGGGGAAAAACGCTTCTACTAAACCACTGGGTGCTGAGTCTGCGCTGAGCACTACGACTCAGAATCGCTGCCCAACATGTTGAAAACTACGGGAAACAGGTCAATACCCCAAGTTAATTTCGAAGGCAACCACCCCCCCCAAAAAAAAAGAAGAAAAAAAATAAAAGAAGATATCGGTTGCAAAAAACCAAGTTGCTGCGCATCCACTCCTGGTGCAGCCCTAATTACAACAACCACTTTGGTACCTCATTCAAGCCACAATTCCCTCTAGTTGGTGGCTTGGTTTGGTGGCTTGGACGTTAGGGGGCACCTTCCCCATCCGGCTTCCAAATATGTCAAACCAACTTGGGCTTCAAATCCGCAAAAATCCAAACCCGCCAATCCAAACCAAACGGGCTCCGCACAAATCCCCCGAGCTTCTGCGCCGAGCCACTTCTGCGGCGCCCGCGTCCTGGACTCGTCTCCGGCCGCGGCATTGCGCTCCCAGAGGAGCCGCGGGTCGTGGCGGAAGGCGAGGTCCACCAGACGCATCACACGCAGCCTGGAAGCCCAACGGGGAGGCTCGGCACCCAGAAGAACCCAAGGGAAACCAGGGGAAAACAAGAAAAACCAAGGGAAACTAGGGGAAACAAGGGAAAACAAACGAACACAAAGGGAACACAAGGGAAAAAAAACATGGTTGTAGGAAACACTCCCGATCGACATCTGGGGTCGAGGATGGGACCTAAGTGTAAAGTACATGTGATGATGGATCTCGGCTGATTGCATTCTACTGGAAAAGCTGACTGCCTGCAACACCACACGCCATGGCCGTGACAAATTACAATTTCGGTGATACCAACGTGAGATGACCCTACGACGACGTGCTTCAATTCAAAGGGATCGGTGTCGCCGAAGGTGGCTTTAAACATCCTTCTTTCCACCACCATGTCGCACGTTCATGCTGATTCTTACGCAGGTCACCATCTGTCCAAGCTTGCGCTGCTTCCGCTGAACCCTGTCAGCGGCGACACGTCTTCTGACCACCTTGACTTGGACCTACCACATCCTACCACACTACGTTCTTGAGATGCCGTGATTCGGAATGTCAGCCACAGTCCCGTGAAAGGACGCGGGACAAGTAGTCAGTCTCCTTCTTTCTGTGGATGAATGTTGTGATCATCCTTGCCAAACCCGGTGTCACATAGTTTCGCCGCTTGTGCATTCAGGCGCGCCAGGCAAAACAAACAAACCCTGAACATGTCAAGCCAAGCACAGCTTAGAGACCAATGAGCCGCAAATGCGATTGGCAGGCTTTGAGCCCCGTGACCCTGAGCAAGAAGAACGCAAACAACTACAACAATGTCAAAGAGACACGGGAAAACAAACAAATCAAACAACTAGAACAAGGGAAGACGAAGCCAAGCACAAAGCACGCCCAGCCGTGCTCTTCTCAATAAGGTTCCCTCAACGTCACTTTGGAAATACCAACCCACCAAGGAGAACTTGGTTGAACTTGGCCTTTCCCAAAGGTGCTGCTCAAACCACATAGCAAGGGAAGCAAGCATAAATACCTTGGTTTTTGCCCCAACCAAGCATCTGCTTGATTCTGGTCAATATGACTGAATCTAAGAAGGCAATAATTTCAAACAAGATCCCTCTTGACAGGGTTCTTCAAGAATACATCCAAAAAACCCACTTCTTTTTACAAGCAGATTCTCTGCTGGTAAAAGTACCCCTGGACTGGGGCCAAGTTTGTATCTCTCAATATAGTGGGTGCCCACTCATTTGAGTCTATTTTGGTGGGGATTGGGGGTTTTCGAGCCATGGCCATATCAGCCGCGGTGAACGACCACCTCTCGTTCTGCCGGCCACCTCTCTTGCCGATGCCCGACCTCTCGTGGACATCGAAGGCTTTGCGGATCTGCTCGTTCTGCTTCTGCCGGGTCCTCCGCTGCTGACGAGGGCAGTTGGTCACGTCCTCCGGCCAAAGCCGCATGGGTCACATGGGGTCACAGGGCGGCCAGACGTAGACTCAGACGTAGACCGGGTGAAAGGGAATGTGCTTATATGTATGTGTGAATATGTATCTATATATGTGGATCCCAATAGATTGGTTCGGGTTGATGGCAATGGAGTGAGCCCTGCTCTTACAGACATGCTCGATCCCGTGTGTTGTTTTGCGCCCTTGTGGTGTTCAAAAGCCCGGAAAAGGCCTTTGAAGGTCAGCAGGTCGTCTCTTGAGGCTAGCCACTGCAAGCAATCACGTTGTATTTTCCCGCGTCTCAAGTGGCGTCACTGCTACTGACTCTGGGTTAACGAATGACCCGTGGGGTCGATTCCATTTGCCATGGCCACCAACAAGTAAACATGTGGAATCCACTGAACAGTTCGGACAGTGGTAACTGGAATCACTACCTGAAGATTCACATATTGCATCTGCTTCACGGACACAATTTATTTACTCTTGCCCTGACATGGGACAACAATCGATTTCTGCTTAAGGGTGCCCTCAAGACACAACTCATTTGAAGGCGCTAACTTCCTTTGGGCTTCCTTTCAACCCTTGGTACAAAAGGCTAGCCTCCAACAAACCTCATTTGATTGCGCTCCTTTGGCTCCCCCCAAGGTACTTGGCACCGGGCACCCTACGGCACCCAACGTGAGAACGAGGTCCTCGAGCTCCAGGCCCTGCTGCTCCAGGTAGCTGGGGCTCACATCCCGCCAGCTCTCAAAGTCGTACCACCACCTCGAGGTGCCGGTCGCGTCTACCCACCCACGCACCCACCCACCTAACCAGCGAACCATCCAGCCCACCAACCAACCGCAACCAACCAGGCACCCCGCCAACCAGGCAACAAGCAACCAGCCAACTGGCCAGCCAACTGGCCAGCCAGCCAGCCAACCAGAGATCAAAGCTTTTGCTGAACTGCGTGGTACGTCCTCAACGGCACATGTCTTGCATGTATGCTTTCAAAATGACTCTTAATCAACACACGTGTTTGCCGGGGCCTTTGGCTGGAAACCGCCAGGACGAAGAGTGGGCAGGGAAGGAAACCCCAAAGAGCAACAAGGCAATGTGTTCTGACAAAATCCCAGACGCGAGACTTGGACGTCCAAAGCTATGTTGGGAGTGTGCGAGATAAGAGATGACATTCTGCCACATGGCTTCATCTAGCAGCGTTCCACCATGTAAGACAAAAGGCACCGTCAAGCACACTCAACCCCAGCAGTTGCCAATTAAGAACGATGTTCTTAGATGCTGGCAAAACCACCAAGTAAATCATCACAACAAAGCCCAGGCACATCAACATAAATTACAAACTGGAAGTAAGTAATCCGCAAGTAAACCCTTTGTCGTGGGCACCCTCCAAACTGGGCTGGTCAAAATGGAGGGATCCCTAGTCCCACTCCGCAACCCGCAGCGGGATACCAAAACAACAAACAGCTAGCATGCGGCATGAGGACCTTCTCCATAGATTTTGAACAACCCAGGCAAGGGATAGTAGAGGACTGACAGGGGTTGCAGCTCCACCAGTGGATCAATTATATGGACACAAAGCCTTGCAGCTGATCCTTGTGCATTTGGCGGCGTGGTTGGGGCATGTGTCAACCCAGGGGACGCACAAAATGCAGATTTTCCTTACGTCCCTTAAACCTGCCCCAAAATGATGCTCTCAAACCCCGCACACACACACACATGCGCGACCAACACACCAGCTGCCTCCCCCCCCCCAGCCAAGAACGACCCAATCCAAGGCCCTTGCTGGTAAAAGCCATGCACCTGGTCCAGCGGCTGGTCCGGCGTGCCTTGCCGAACCGCTGTTTCTTCCGGGTTCCAAATGCCGAGGCCCTTTTGTTTGTGTGTGGTTTCTGTTGGCACATGCTCATGGAACTGAACTGGGTTTTCCATATAAAAAATGCGCCCCACACAAGGAACAACGGAATTGTGGATGGATGAACTGGTATCTTATAGTCTTATAGTGCCTCTGGAGCCAACCGGTCCGGCCAGGCAGGAACTAAACAAACTCAATCACTTGAAGTAAAGGATTCACTTGGAATAACACACTGCCTCTGATGCCTTCACCCTCGGCCCGCCCTCCACGCATTTGTTTGTGGGCACTGGAGTGAACACCTACTTTTGAGTTGACATCCTCCCCCCCAAACCAAAACGAAAACAAATCATAGTAGTTGGAGTGGGCGATGCTTGCAACCATGCATCCGAATGGGAGAGCAACAAACTGAGCCCAAAGCATGGAGAAAAATCAATCCTCTGATAAAATTTGTTTAATACGACAGCTCAAACTGACTGAAACAGGGTTCCTTCTGTTTCACTTTGAAATGCTACCCCACCCAAAGCACAATCCAACATGGCCTGGCGCTTCCAAAGGGTGACGTTTGCGAAAGCTGGCAGTGTCTTGGTTCGAAACGGGCCAAAAAGGGAACCTTCAATCAGTTGGCCATGGCGTATATATTCAATTATACCCGTAGATCATACCAACGGGGCTCGCTTTTTCTGCCCTGCCGACCAAAACTCGCTCCCCTCCCCCCCTCCCCTCCCCCCCTCCCCTCCCCTCCCCTCCCCTCCCCCTCCCCTCCCCTCCCCCCTCCCCCTCCCCCCTCCCCCCCCCCCTCCCCCTCCCCCTCCCCCCTCCCTCCCTCCCCTCCCCTCCCCTCCCCTCCTCCCCTCCCCCCCCCCCCTTTTCCCCCCCTTTCCCCCTGCAGGGGGTTTTGCCAAGGCGCCCAGCGGCGGGCCGCCGCCGCGCTCGGACCACCTGGCGTTGCGCCGGAAGGCCGGCTCCAAGGCCTTGAAGAAGCCCCGGCGCCGGATCTCCGCCTCTGGCGAAGGCTCGGTGCGAGAGGGGGGTGACGGGATGAGCGCGGGTGGTGGGGATACCCGGAATTTTGGGAGTCCCTTAAAGGAAACCACCCGTGGGACAAAAGGACACCACCAGTTGGAGGTTTTTTTTTGCGGGGGCGGTCCCTTTCTCTGAGCACCAGCACGTGAAAGGGAAGCGACAAGGGAAACCAGGCTTGAAAGTCCCTATTTTGCGACACATGTGCCAAAATATGGATTTGGACCACTCAAGTGGTTTTCCTGTTGCTTCCCCTTTTAACCATTAAGATGAACAAAAAGTGTCCGCCACCCCAAAGCAAATACGCACACCTAAATTGCGGGTTCAAAAGTCATTGAAAAAGGGAAACCTAAACGCAACTAATTACACATTTGTTCCTGCTCCGCAAAACTTAGAGCGGGGTGGTTTCGTTTTACACCAGCATTTCGATGGCAAATTGGAGGATGTCATTTTGACGAACCCAGTGAACTCCCTAGATTTGCAATAGAGCAATAGGAACCCTGGAGAAAAACATAAGAAAAATGCTCATCCCTTGTTTCCCTGATTGTGTGAATTTGAAGACGCCAACATCGGGCTGCAAGTGCATGCGCATGGTGCCATTTGCATGTGACAGGGCCTAGACAGCCCAGATGGAGCCGAGCATTCAGTTGGCGCAGCCCGCATCCAGCAAGCGGCAGTTTTGCCAGAGTTTATTTGTATCCCCACTACCTCACTCTCCCAACTGGGGGGCGAGGGACAAGGCCGGCCCAGCTCCCAAGCCTCCGTGGGGATGGAGTCGTTGAAGGGCAGTGTGGAATCATAGACCTGCTTGTTCTCGCGATCCGAGAGGTATTCGTAGGCCTCCTGAATCAGCTGGAAGGGCAGGGTCTTGCTCGCCTGGGCCAAAAAAAACGGAAACGTGCAGCACGGTTTCTGGCACAGAGCCTGGATTGCTCAAACTGGGGGATCGCACGGCCAGCTGGTACAAGGATCTTGCGGATGTAACCCCAACCACCTGAAGATACACTGCCGACATGCTCAGGTTATCACGACCGCGAGTCCTAAAGCAACACCTTTAGACCTCCAAGGGCACGCACTGCCCAAGATGCGGACTCCAAATCTTCGTTTATGTGTGCAACCCATAGACACTGGCTCCCTGCCCAGCGAACATGTCCCGCCGTGGCCGTATAAACAGCAGCAAGCAGTGGTGTGCGGCGCTGGTAAGCGAAGTAAGTTGCAACTGTGGAAGAGTCAAAGTGTTCTAGTCGTACTAAAGTGGATGTGCCATCCAACACAAGATGGCTCCCTCAGTTTGAGAAGCCTTGGGATTCATTTGCATGTATGTTGCCAGCTTTAACGAGCGAGGCTTCGCTATTCTGTACTGACCAGTGAAGTTGACTAGCTGGGAAATTGGAAACTAGCACAAGCAGAAGGATTCATCTCCGAACAAGCTGTGGCTCCCCTCCGAACCAAACCCAAACAGGGTAAATACTATAGAACAATCAGCAACACATAGCAGCAAACATCGCAATTGCCAATACACGTGTTTCTTATATATATATTTATTATGACTCATCCCATCCATGTGCCTGGCCGTGCCAATGAACTGCCCCTCGGTGCAAGTAAACTGCCCCTCTTTTTGCAAGCATCAAACATCTGGTCTTCATGGACATTCCACAAAATCAAATGGTCCCTGCAAATGTGAAGTGAAAACAGTGATCCTGTTGACACGCTCCATTTGCTTGGACTCTTCCACTTCACTTTTCCATTCTTGCCCGCGAAGGTGCGGCACGGAACCAAACTGGAATTTCAGAGTCACACCCCTCTCCCAATTCCATGCTTCAGGTGGCCATCCAACCAGCCAGGGGGAGGCTCGCGCCCTCGCGCCTGCTTGTCCGGGTGGTGGATCAACACCAGGCGCTTGTAGGCCTCCTTGACCTAGGGGATGACCCCTAGCCATGTGGTTTCCGAGGATCGCCTTAGCGCCTGAATTTCCTAAGAGCCATCAAGTAGTCTACCTCCCAACATTCATGACTTCCCCTTCCTCTACCCCGGTACATTCTGGCTACCTGACCTAATCAATATGAAGGGATTTGTAGGCGTGCCGACTTTTTGCGGGCCCCCTCCCCAAACAAAATGAGCGGTTGTTCTTTAGTTTCCCTAAAAACCACAAAACAAAAGGGGGCACCTCGAAACAAAGACAGGTACCTCACAAAACAATTACAGGTACCTCACAAAACAAAGACAGGTACCTCAAAACAAAGACAGGTACCTCAAAACAAAGACACGCCCATGTCGTTGGTCCCCCTTCATCCACCCGAACAAGGCTACCTTGTGCCTCGCCTCCTCCTCTTTGGGCAGCTGGTCCTCCTCAACTTGGATCTCCAGCAGTGCGTAGAGCTCCACTCCTGAAAGCCCAAAGTGATGTTCCAGTTGCCCACCATGGGAAAAGCGCCCCCCTCGGGCATGCGTGATGTTCCGTTTCCCCGGGTTTTCAGGGAAACCGTGGGACATGTATGGACAAATGGTTATGGATCGCCAGTCGCCACCGGCAGAAGATACAGGATCATGCACGGTGACATCCTCGAGACTTTCGCTAAGTGGCGGTTGAAACCCCCCCAAGACATCTTCAAGACCCCTTGCCAAATAATCAGCTGCGGTCAGCGGGGTCTCGGGTCTGGCCGTTTAGCTGTTGCCAGGGGTTTGGTGGTTGGATGTGGTGTGTGTGTGTTCACTTGCAATACTCAAGGAATCCAATGTAGTTTCTTGTGACACAGGGCAATCCCCACACCCGGTTGGGACTTACTCAACAAAAACACCGTAGCACTGTAGGAGTGGCCGGAAGCAAGGATTTGTTGCTTTTGGAAAGCCGTTGGTTACCCACCCACCAGAATTATTGCTTGCGTGTACAGGGCTTCTTGCATTTCGTTGGTGGTTTGCAGCAGTAACGTTTGGCGGAGTGATGTCCAAAGGGGAAATGCAGGAAACTCCGGTGAACAGGTCGCCTTTCTGCTCGCGAGAGCATGTGACTCTGAAACCCATTGCCCAGGAACCTTTCCTCAAAGAACCTCCCCGCCGATTGTGTTCCACCCCATTCCTCCAGCAAGGAGAGTGACCCTAAATCCTAATTGGGATGCACAAAGGCACGTTGTCCTTTGGCGCAAGCGCTCACCGAATTCCGTTCAGCCAAGCCCTGTACAAAACAAAAGCAAACCAAGATGGAACCATTTTCTTGTAACTAAGACGGAAACCAAAATGAAGCCAACCACCTCAAGTCCCATTTCCCTTTTGAGACTCCCCCCCCCCCCCCCCACCACCCACAAAAAAAGCAACAACAAAAGGAAGTTGCCATCTAACGGCGGGTCCCGATTCTCCCGGCTCGGTCCTTTCAGGCGCAGCGGCAGGGGCTTGCGCCCTGGCCGCAGCTTCGAGCGCAGCTCTGCACGCTCCTGGCATGAAACCGCCGCCCCGCCCGGACATGAAGAAAATGTCAGGCAGGTTCAAAATGGAACAAGAACCGGTCACGGGCATAAAGCCTGGTTGTGATCTACTAAGTGGGTTGACCATGAAACTAGTTTACATGTTGGTCAATAACGACCTCTGTGTGGGGTCAATGTCATTGTTAGACAGCAAAACTACAAGGGACAAAAAGAGCTTGGAATCCACTGAACGAATGGGCTCTGGGAACTGTTCGCTCCGTTGAACCACTTCGCTGACCTGAGTTGACAAATTAGCCGTGAACTGTTCCAGTGTGGGTACCCCAAACACCAACAGGCCAAAAAGCGCCGTATGGGTCCACAAAATGGCGTTTGGTTTTCTTCAAAACCACCAAAAGGGCTGATTCACACCCATTCGGAGGAATCAACAGGCACGTCCGTCTTTTCTTTCAACCAGGCCTGGCACCTTTGCAGATACGGCGCCGAGGGCCCCCGCGCTGGCGACCGGCGCATGTCCGGCTCCTGGTCATGTTCAAGCTGGTACCACTGTGTGCGAAATTGGGGGTCTGAAAGCTGTCAAAGAAACAATCCCTTGTTTCCGGTTGGGTAAATTAGCCGTGGGCTTTTTCGCCCCCAAATATCGCATTGAAGTGGACCTGGAGGGATTCCCCTACGCAGCTTATGAGACACCCATAGCGATGTCATATAACTATTGAAGATGAAAGCAAGCAAGTACGACACGGTGCCCACGAGCCGGCTGCATCACTAGTGGAATCATTCCAAGACATAAAGTCAACAAGAAAGTCAGACATGCTTAATCTTGATCTGTGGTTGACGCAATAGACGCAAATCAATCACCAAGCCCTCCAGCGGTTGACAGCTTTGGGAGTTGATGTTATTTTTTTTAAGGGGCGGGGCACAGGAGGGCTAGCAGAGCAGTTTTCTGGGACGCTGGATTTGTTAAAGGGACACCTCCTCCAACCAACAAAAGGAAAGAGGGACCACTTGAGGCTTGGAAGTCTCGGATCGAGCATGCCGCTCCTCCTTCGGGACCTTTGCTTGCGCTTCAGCCGGCGCGGGCTGGAAACTCGGCATCTGACGCTCCAAGGTCTGCGCGGCGAGATTGGCGCCCGGTGCGGGGGGGGGGGGGCCTCCTATGTTCAACCCACGGCAAGGTTGTTACCCATAAATCGGCAAAAAGTACTGTCTTGTAAATCCAAAAGCTGGAGTAAGGGATCCCCAAGTAAAGGGCCTTTATCATGGTGAGCTCGTGACACACCGGTGAGCTCGCCATAAAATAGGCAAATAAATGGGACAACAGGGGTTGGTGGTTCACCTACTTGCAAGTGGTGTAAACATCCAAGTTTTGGATGGTGCCGACGGTAAACAATAGCCGACCATTTTGGGGGACCCTCGCAACAAGCACGTAAGGCCAACAGTTCGATTCGATGTGGCCGCAACTCAGGTGCACGAGAAGCTCAGGGAGCTAGTGGACGTCGACAAATCTGACAATGATCCGGCCCAGCACCCACAACCACCGAGTTACCCGACATCCAGGCTTCTCCTGCCCTCCCTTCAGTTGCCCAGGGCCTGTGGTAAAAAAACAGGTGGATGATGCCCGAAACACTTTACATTCACTGCTTGACCATATGGTCGGGATGGATGAAACCCAATGAATACTGGGATAAACCTCCTGGAGCTAAGTGGTTTTTGTCCATCCACAGAACTTTCACTTGGTTCAGGCGGCCTCCAAAAAAGACCGGCCGGCGCATTCCAGACGCTTGCGCGCGCAGGGCGCAGCGGAACCGTAGATCTCTGCAGGGCCTCCAAGGGAAATGTGATTCGACGCCTTCCTAACGAGTCTCCGGTGCCATCTATTCGGACGCTGCCGGCGGCCGTTTTTAGCCTTAGGGTTCCAGATGGGCTTGTTCTCAATGGCAAGATTTTCAGTTGGTAACCCCAACCGAATCCTTTGCTCTCACTTTAGGGAACTGCCAGAATTGGCCCTCAAAATGGCATAGCCTCACAACAGAACAGACACACACACAGACACACACACAAAGGCACAGAGACACACAGAGACACACAGAGACACACAGAGACACACAGAGACACAGAGACACACAGAGACACACAGAGACACAGAGACACACACACAGAGATACACACACAGAGTCACAGAGACACACACACACAGAGACACAGAGACACAGAGACACACACACAGAGACACACAGACACACAGAGACACACACACACAGAGACACAGAGACACAGAGACACACACAAAGACACGCAAACAGAGACACAGAGACACACACAGACACACACAGAGACACAGATACACACACAGAGACACAGAGACACACACAGACACACGCAGACACACACACACACAGACACACAGAGACACACTCAGACACACACAGAGACACAAAGACACACACACACAGAGACACACACACACAGAGACACACACACAGACACACACACAGAGACACAGAGACACACACACACAGAGACAAACACACAAAGACACCCAGGCACAGAGACACACACACACACACACAGACCCACAGACACACACACAGACACACACACAGACACACACAGACACACGCAGAGACACACACACAGAGACACACACACACACACAGAAAGACAGAGACACACACACAGACACACACAGACACAGACAGAGACACACACACAGAGACACAGAGACACACACAGACACACACACACACACACAGAAACACAGAGACACACACACACAGACACACACAGAGACACGGACACACACACACACATAGACACACGCACACACACAAACACACACACACACAGACACACACACACACACAGACACTCACACACACACACGCACACACACACACAGACACACACACAGAAACACGCACACACACAGACAACACACACCGACAACACACACAGACACACACAAAGACACAGAGACACACAGAGACACACAGAGACACACAGAGACACACAGAGACACACAGAGACACACAGAGAAACACAGAGACACACACACACACGGAGACACACACACACACACACAGACACACACACACAGACACGGAGACACACACACAGACACACACACAGACACACACACACAGACACACACACACAGACACACACACACATGGAGACACACACACACACACCCAGGCACACACACACACAGACACGCACAGACACACACACACAGACACACACAGACACACACACAGAGACACAGAGACACACACACAGAGACACAGAGACACACACACAGAGATACACACACACACAGAGACACAGAGACACACACACACAGAGACACAGAGACACAGAGACACACACACAGAGAAACACACACACAGAGACACACACACAGAGACACAGAGACACAGAGACACAGAGACACACACACAAAGACACACAAACAGAGACACAGAGACACACACAGACACACACAGAGACACAGAGAGACACACAGAGACACAGAGACACACACAGACACACGCAGACACACACACACAGACACACAGAGACACACTCAGACACACACAGAGACACAAAGACACACACACACAGAGACACACACAGAGACACACACACAGACACAAAGACACACACAGACACACACACAGACACACACAGAGACACAGAGACACACACACACAGAGACAAACACACAAAGACACCCACACACAGAGACACACACACACAGACCCACAGACACACACAGACACACACACAGACACACACGCAGAGACACACACACACAGAGACACACACACACACACAGAAAGACAGAGACACACACACAGACACACACAGACACACAAAGACACACACACACAGAGACACAGAGACACACACACACAGACACACACAGAGACACGGACACACACACACACACAGACACACGCACACACACAAACACACACACAGACACACACACACACAGACACTCACACACACACACAGACAGACACACACACAGACACACACTGAGACACAGAGACACACACACACAGACAACACACACAGACAACACACACAGACACACACACACAAAGACACAGAGACACACAGAGACACACAGAGACACACAGAGACACACAGAGACACACAGAGACACACACAGAGACACACAGAGACACACAGAGACACACAGAGACACACAGAGACACACACACACACACGGAGACACACACACACAGACACACACACACACACACACAGACACGGAGACACACACACACACAGACACACACACAGACACACACACACACACACACACGGAGACACACACACACACACACACCCAGGCACACACACAGACACGCACAGACACACACACACGCAGACACACACACACAGAGACACAGAGACACAGAGACACACAGACACACAGACACACAGACACACACGCACGCACGCACGCACGCACGCACGCACACACGCACACACACACACAGACACACACAGAGACACACACACAGAGACACAGAGACACACACACACACACACGCGCGCACACACACACAGACACATTATGCCCCCTTTTGGGTTATTGAAGCATCGCATTTTGGCTGAAACATCAAATGGCACCAGTAAGCACAAACGCTGAACCTGATAGAATCGATCTTTCAACCGAACGGACTGGCCCCAAGGGACAACGGGGTATACCCTTTATGTAGTGTGTGTGTGTGCAGTGGATGTATTATCCCTCGGGGTAGTTGTTTGGGGGTAGTGGAATCATGATAGAAACGAGCAGCCGGCTCGTTCAAAGCAGGCGTTGTGCTAACGGCCTCCTTTGGAGAATCGGACTCACCAAAAGGTTCAAAAACGGGTCGGCCAATGTGTGCATCTTTGGTTTTGGGCCGAACCTCTTGATTGTAAAGCTTTCCCAACCACTGTCGTTGGTGTCAATAAAGGCAACGTGGGTGGTGAGGAGAACACCTATTTCCCAGTGGCCAGGCATTTTTGGCTGGTTGACTTCAAAGGGAAACCCACCCACGCGGGAAGGGTCGTGAAGTGGATACGGGGTTGCGCCTCCAGAAGAGAAGGGCAGCGCCTTTGGCTGCCGAAGGAGTCGTTCGACCCACCGAAGGAACCTGGGCGAGCTCCCCGGATAGGATTCCCCAGGCCGGGTTCAAACAACTGTAACCCGAAAGGTAGAAAAAGGGAGGCCGTCCGCATTTCTCCTCTAAATTCATGTCAGTGCCGAACGAATCAAACAGGAATTTTAGTACGAATCTAGTACGCGAAGTGGGGGCGTGGTGTAGAAGCATCGCAAACGCGGATTCCAATATAAAATCTAACAACCCCTTCCTGTCGGGTGGGGAATAAAAATGGAAGTCACAGGCTATTACCGAAAGGACCAGAAATAAGAGATGACATGTTAATAAGAAGAAGAATGGCATTTGTACCTGTTGGCACTTGTTATCTTACTTTCTTGTTCATCATAGTCTTTCCTTTCAATATTTACTATTTTGATTCTGTTAGAGATTCATGATTTTAAAGATAGAAAGGGAAGGTAAAGAAGAAAAATAAAAGAACAAGATAGGAAAGTTATTCCTGATCCAATAGATGACAGGAAATTCCAGGAATGAAAAGAATCTGGAAAGGATGGGATTCTTCTTGGCATAACATTACATCCTAACAAACGCATTGGGGAAAAGGTAAGAAGACAATAAATATCTAATTACAATGATAAAGGGAGAGTGTACAGCAATAAGTTCATAGTACCAACAATCTTTTCGCCATTGAAGCTTACTCCGGAGAAGATAGCAATTATAGCTCCTAAAGAAAGAACAAAATGAACATGTGCTACAACATAATATGTATCATGTAATCCTAGATCCACTGCAGCATTTCCTAGAATTACTCCTGTTGACCTACCTATAGTAAAAATTGATAAAAAGAGAAGAAAGAAGACAGACGTAATTCTAAGGTCTAATAAAGATGGGTTGGTGGGATTTGTAAAAAGCCAATTAAAGGTTTTTTACCAGTTAGTAAAGATATTAAGATTGTAACTCCTGTAAAAAAAGCTCTTGTATCACTTTCTAAACCTACAGTGTACACCCCAAACAAGACTTCCAAGAAGAGAACTAGATGACATGGCAAAGATCCTTGATTCCTTAGCAAAGATTATTCACTGTAAAATCCTGAATTTATTATGGAAATGATCCCAAATGCAGGAATTATTAGACTTCTGGACGTTCAAACAACCAAAATACATGTTGATAGAATATAGGATCTCCTCCAAATATTGGGTCGAAGAAAAGTGTATTAGAATGAAGATCACCCAACATTAAAAGAAGTGTACCAGATAAGATAGGTAATGTTAATAAAAGCATGAAAGCTGTAATCAACAAAGAGAAAGGAAATAATGGGATAGTCGTTAATATAAGATAATAAGATCTCAGATCTTGAATTGTGTCGTCCGCTCCATCCAATCCCTTCTTTCTATCCGCGAGGCCCGGCCACATCGCCCTCGGCCCGCTTGGCCAAGACCTGCGCCAGCTTCACGCAATCCTGCCGCGATGTTTTGGGGCGAGTCCAAGGAATATTTGCTGGCCTTCGGACCCACATCAAAAATAACAATTAACGCGCCCAAGCGTACAACCGTGACTTGCCAGGGGGGTCCCTTGCTCGTCAAGCTGCGCTTGGCACACTTGGGGGAAAACCTGCAGGTCCCCCAACAAATCGGGCCAGCGGAAGCAAACCCAGACCTCCATGGGAACAAGCGAGGCATTGGGGAAGTAGATTGAGAAAACTACCCCAAAAGAGTAAAGACGATGAAACAAGCAAGCTTCAAGCGGCATGATGGATCTCCGTCACGGGATCTTTACATCTTACCACCACGGCCAGTCCAGTATGACTTCAAATGAAGCCATCCCAACCCTGACTCTCAAATTCAATCTGCAAAGTTTGCCTCAAAAGAGTGAATTGTGCCGCCTCACACTCAAACTGCTTTGACCATGTCTATTCCAAGGATTTCGTGCTTTTTCCAAGTGCCCTTCTTCCGGAAGCACAGCCAGGTCAAAACAAAAAGAGTAGTGTCGGACTTTTACGCTCTAGTTATTCTCCTAATGGGAACAATTCAGCGAATCTTTCGGGGGTCGCTTTAATAGAAAGTGTCTTTGTCGGAATAAAATACGGGCAGAAAGAATGGGCCAAGAAAATCGGGCCAGAAAAGGGAAACAAATCCGGGAAACCATTGGGAATTCCTTTTCTTGAGGTGGTCCACAAACCATCAAATTAAAGCTAGTTCGAATTGGCAATACTAAAGCAAGTACAGGGAATCTGAGAGTAAGCCTTGGCAGCACACTATGTGACATGGCAATGCTCAAGTAAGCACTGGGAATTTGAGAGTCAGTCTTGGCAATACTAAATTTGGCGGTTTGAGAGTCAGTCTCGGCAATACCAAATTTGACATGGCAATGCGCAAGAAAGCACTGGAATTTGAGAGTCAGTCTTGGCAATACTAAATTTGACATGGCAATGCTCAAGTAAGCACTGGGAATTTGAGAGTCAGTCTTGGCAATACAAAATTTGACACGGCAATGCTCAAGTCAGCACTGGGAATTTGAGAGTCAGTCTTGGCAATACTAAATTTGACATGGCAATGCTCAAGTAAGCACTGGGAATTTGAGAGTCAGTCTTGGCAATACTAAATTTGATATGGCAATGCTCAAGTAAGCACTGGGAATTTGAGAGTCAGTCTTGGCAATACTAAATTTGACATGGCAATGCTCAAGTAAGCACTGGGAATTTGAGAGTCAGTCTTGGCAATACTAAATTTGACATGGCAATGCTCAAGTAAGCACTGGGAATTTGAGAGTCAGTCTTGGCAATACTAAATTTGACATGGCAATGCTCAAGTAAGCACTGGGAATTTGAGAGTCAGTCTTGGCAATACTAAATTTGACATGGCAATGCTCAAGTAAGCACTGGGAATTTGAGAGTCAGTCTTGGCAATACTAAACATGACATGACAATGCTCAAGTAAGCACTGGGAATTTGAGAGTCAGTCTTGGCAATACTAAATTTGACACGGCAATGCTCAAGTAAGCACTGGGAATTTGAGAGTCAGTCTTGGCAATACTAAATTTGACATGGCAATGCTCAAGTAAGCACTGGGAATTTGAGAGTCAGTCTTGGCAATACTAAAATTGACACGGCAATGCTCAAGTAAGCACTGGGAATTTGAGAGTCAGTCTTGGCAATACTAAATTGGACATGGCAATGCTCAAGTAAGCACTGGGAATTTGAGAGTCAGTCTTGGCAATACTAAACTTGACATGGCAATGCCCAAGTAAGCACTGGGAATTTGAGAGTCAGTCTTGGCAATACCAAATTTGACATGGCAATGCTCAAGTAAGGACTGGGAATTTGAGAGTCAGTCTTGACAATACTAAACATGACATGACAATGCTCAAGTAAGCACTGGGAATTTGAGAGTCAGTCTTGGCAATACCAAATTTCACACGGCAATGCTCAAGTAAGCACTGGGAATTCGAGAGTCAGTCTTGGCAATACTAAGCATGGCATGGCAATGCTCAAGTTAGCATTGGGAATTTGAGAGTCAGTCTTGGCAATACTAAATTTGACATGGCAATGCTCAAGTAAGCACTGGGAATTTGAGAGTCAGTCTTGGCAATACTAAATTTGACATGGCAATGCTCAAGTAAGCACTGGGAATTTGAGAGTCAGTCTTGGCAATACTAAATTTGACAATGCGCAATGGCAATTTGAGAGTCAGTCTTGGCAATACTAAATTTGACATGGCAATGCTCAAGTAAGCACTGGGAATTTGAGAGTCAGTCTTGGCAATACTAAATTTGACATGGAAATGCTCAAGTAAGCACTGGGAATTTGAGAGTCAGTCTTGGCAATACTAAATTTGATATGCCAATGCTCAAGTAAGCACTGGGAATTTGAGAGTCAGTCTTGGCAATACTAAATTTGACCTGGCAATGCGCAAGAAAGCACTGGCAATTTGAGAGTCAGTCTTGGCAATACTAAATTTGACATGGCAATGCTCAAGTATGCACTGGGAATTTGAGAGTCAGTCTTGGCAATACTAAATTTGACATGGCAATGCTCAAGTAAGCACTGGGAATTTGAGAGTCAGTCTTGGCAATACTAAATTTGACATGGCAATGCTCAAGTAAGCACTGGGAATTTGAGAGTCAGTCTTGGCAATACTAAATTTGACATGGCAATGCCAAGTAAGCACTGGGAATTTGAGAGTCAGTCTTGGCAATACTAAATTTGACATGACAATGCTCAAGTAAGCACTGGGAATTTGAGAGTCAGTCTTGGCAATACTAAATTTGACACGGCAATGCTCAAGTAAGCACTGGGAATTTGAGAGTCAGTCTTGGCAATACTAAATTTGACATGGCAATGCTCAAGTAAGCACTGGGAATTTGAGAGTCAGCCTTGGCAATACTGAATGTGGCACGGCAATTGTCAAGTAAGCACTGGGAATTTGAGAGTCAGTCTTGACAATACTAAACATGACATGCTCACTTGCCCAAAGGACCCAGAAATAAAAGGTTAACCTTTTAGGGCCATGACTAAAACTAGACCAAAAAGGAGAAACCAAAAGGTCAAAAGGTCGGCTTTGGGCAACTGAGCATGACAATGCTCAAGTAAGCACTGGGAAATTGAGAGTCAGTCTTGGCAATACTAAATTTGACATGGCAATGCTCAAGTAAGCACTGGAAATTTGAGTCAGTCTTGGCAATACTAGATTTGACATGGCAATGCTCAAGTAATCACTGGAAATCCGAGAGTCAGTCTTGGCAATGCTAAATTTGACATGGCAATGCTCAAGTATGCACTGGGAATTCGAGAGTCAGTCCTGGCAATGCTAATTTGACATGGCAATGCTCAAGTATGCACTGGGAATTTGAGAGTCAGTCTCGGCAATACTAAATTTGACATGGCAATGCTCAAGTAAGCACTGGGAATTTGAGAGTCAGTCTTGGCAATACTAAATTTGACACGGCAATGCTCAAGTAAGCACTGGGAATTTGAGAGTCAGTCTTGGCAATACTAAATTTGACATGGCAATGCTCAAGTAAGCACTGGGAATTTGAGAGTCAGTCTTGGCAATACTAAATTTATAAGACTTGGCAATGCTGAAGACCCTTCATCCTTGGGGAGCGCCAAGTACCACAATGGTCAACTGGATGATGTTCCATTTCGGGGAGGCGCGAGTGTTGCGTCTGTCTCTCCTTTTGCCCCTCTCACAAGGTCCGCCACCATCGTGCAACCGAACCCTTTACCGCCCAAACCCTTCGGGAACCACCACCCGACCATGGCAGCGAAAAACTGATGTTTGAACCACCTCTCAGCTTTGCCCCGGCTGCTTCAAAGAAGTAAAAACATCCCAACATCCACGTCTACTCAGATCCCAAAGCTCGGTGGGTTCTAACCAATAGGTTCAAAGCTTTTGGATGCTACACACATGACTGTCCTTCGCAATCGCTCGGAACCCAGTATTACGCCACCCTTTTATATTTTTCATTAAATCCTTGTCTTTTTTCCGGTTTCCGGGCCTCCAAAAAACACACGTAGGGAAACCCCGTCTATTCAAATGCCCCTGAGACATGCAAAGTCCCTCGCTCCAGCTTGTGACTCTTCCAGTGCGCCCGCTGGCAGCTTCGGCTGCAGTACACCACCTGAGGCTCGGCTCGTCGGGCTGGAGCTCCCATTCGTCGGACACCAACTCTAGGCGCGGTGAAAGCAAAGGAAACCAAAGGAGACCAAAGGTGCTCTACCCTTGTGAGGCCTGGAGCAGCGTTGTGAACTGGAAGACGGCTCCAACAAGTATGCAGACAACGGATTCCAGCTTGCACCAAGGAACATGTGTAGCATTGCGGCATCCAACTGAGCAAATGTGTTACTTGCAACTCTGTGGCCTGTACAATGGCCATGCCCTTCAGGACGGCTGAAGCGCTGGAGGCTTACTTTGCCTTTGCCCGCAACACGGAAGCTCCTATTCTGACAACAGTTATCATTAACTGGCCCCAGCCTCAGAATGGCTGACAGGGTTGCTGCAAAGAAACCACACGGCTGCACAGAGGGTATCGTTTCCACCAGAGTCCTTTCGGCTGCAGTCCTGAGTCTAGGCACTTGGATGCCAAATCGTCGGGCCAAAGCCATGGCCTACTTCCAACAAAGTGCTTTAGATGTGCGCAAGCGTCGCCAAAAGCGATAAATCAATCCACATTGGCAACCAAAAGGTTGTGTTTCATCCATGTGTGTGTGGGCGTTTCTCTTTTTGAGGGTGCCCTTGTTTTGTCCCCCCCCCCAAAAAAAAAGAAGAAGCAAACAAACAAAGAAACAAAACGAACCCATCTACATATTTCAAGGGGGTGGGGGAAGGCCCTAGGTTTCAGCCTACCTTGGACTAAGCAATAAATACAAGTCAAACGATAGAAGTCCAACCAAACACCAGCACCCCCCCCCCAAAAAAAAACAAAAAAGAAACAACAACTCCCGTGTCCCATGTCCAAGCGCTGTCCCAACAAACCGTTTCCCATGTCCAAAATTTCAAGTGCTGTCCAACAAAAAGCAGTTTCCCATGTCCAAAATCCCAAGTACTGCCTTCCCCCCCCAACAAAAAAAAGAAAAACACACGACAGTGGTGGGGACCCGCGTGCTGGCCGCCATTCTTTCGGAGGCGCCGATCGGCAGCGGCCGCAGGTGAGATCCGCCTCTTCCGTGCGCTTGCAATGGGTGCAGCGCGGGCCCAGGCGGCCCATGGCCACCGGAGAGGACTTCGGCGTATCTCCAAATGGGATGAGCCGGGTGTTGAATTGGTCTACAAGCGAGAAAACACATTATACCCATGATTCCGTACCTTTTGGTTGTGCCCCTTAGGGGGAAATGGACAAGTTTCCAAAAAAGACTTACCCAGGACCTAAGGAGAAGACGAGGTGGACTTGGAACAAAAGCCGGGTTGGGGAAACGTAAGCTCCAATTGGGCTGGGGAAGTTTGAAAAAGCCGCGCTTGTGGGCTGCAGAGAGCGCACGGCCTCTTGTTTGGGTCTACTGCCCCCCCCTTCCCCGGGCTGTTCCTATGCCGAGTGGGGACAAGTTGATTTTCTTGCATTTTGTGATATGTTGGGAGTGCGAATCAATCTGATTGACAAATGCTCCAAACGCCGAAGGTTTCCAGGCTGAATGTTGCCAACGACTCAGTGGAGGCCAAAAAAGCTGAGCGCTGGATTTCGCGTCCAAGCAAGAATGGGATGCCCTGTCCATGTTGCCATGTACCGGGTAAAAGCTGCGGAGAGATGAGCCGACCAGCATGGAAAGGGGGGCCAATTTCTTCAACTGGAAAATTGCAGGTGACCCTGGAAGCCAGCAAACCAATCATGTTTTGTGAGAGCAGTTCTGGACAAGGAACCATTCTAATTGGGGACCCTTTGGCAAACAGGTTTTACATTAGGAATTCAATGTTGCATCATGTCCCAAGCCTGCAGTGGCCATGGAAGAAAACACCTGTTTTGGCAGTTGATGATTCAATGGCATCACCTATTGTACTGTTGATGCTGCCGAAACTGAGGGAATGAATCTCGTCTGGGGAACAGGGCCATCCTGGGAGGGGTAAAATGACATCACACCCCCAGAAACTGGCACAGTAGACTCCGACACTCTAGTGCTCACCAAAGTGCATGACTGACTCATCCAATCAAATGTAGTTGCTTCCCCTGCAAACAAAACAGGGCTCAACATTGAAAGCCATGGGAAGGCTGAGTCAATTGTTAAAACCAGACTGAACCATACCATCCATGGGTGCGTGTTTCCAAACTTGCGAGGACTGAAAAGCCAAGCGCCACAACACCCAAACGCATGTGTAGCTCAAAAATGCCACCAAGATGCAGAACAGATTCAACTGAACAACTGGGAATACTCTTGCCCTGCGCGCGTCCACCGGAGGCCCAGGCGATCATCCATGACCTGCCCCGAGCTTCAAGCAACTGACATCTGAACATGGTCACAACAACCTACTTTCCTGACGTAAGAGATGTGGGTCGACCAAAAAACAAGAGGTGAACCTGTGCTTGTTGGTATAAACTCCGGGCTCAATCTCATGTTGCCCGCCCACCTGCAGCACCCGAGTGCTAGTGGCAAACACACAACACGCAACACACAACACACATGCGCGCGCCTGCACGCAGGCAAGACCGCACAAAGGCACGCACCAACCGTGCATCAACAGCGGTTTTTACTAACACCCCCTCCCTCCCCCCAATTTACAAATATTTACGAATCATGCCACTCACGGGAAAGCAAGTCACCAGAAAACCAGACCTTAGACCAAGCTGAGTCTGATTGACAAGCACCATCTGCATTCTTGAATCATCCCATTTACGGTGAGGGGGTGGGGATCTTGAATCAGGGCCGTCCCTTCTTGACCCGGAGCCCTTTAGGGGACCCATTTCCCAGCAAATCCGCCCCTTTTCTGGGCCAACACGGTGGCTTCCGGCCGATCAAAAGAACAAAACTGCGCTTCCAAAATTTGTTTGGGCGCCATTTCATCTGGGGTCCATGTCCCTTCCATCTTCCCCGATTTTGGGGCATTCGACTACGCCCCCAGGGTCCATCACCGTGAGAAAGAATACGCGCTCGCCTTCTCCCAGGGAGTGCGGCCCGGCTTCGTGCGTGGGGCAAACTTCTTGTTGGGCCCCTTGTGCCTGGCCAGCCCCGCCCATGGCCCCATGGGCCCAGGGGCTCATGGGCCGATGCACAGCTGTTCTCTGCCCATTTCGGGATTTGGAGAAACAAGACGCATCAGCGAGCATGCGTCCTTTTGCAAATCTTGGATGCTACAATGTTTCCCTTGGCGACACATGCCGTCTCAGGCCGAACCATCAGCGCCTTTCTTAAATTTAAAGGCTGGAGGCAGGAAACAAACCTCGCGCGCAAACTGCGCAAGTGCCTCAGGCAGGGGCAGGGGCAGGGGCAGGGGCAGGGGCAGTGTCTCAGGCTCACTTTGGCCTTGAATCATCTCTTTCTTCGGTGGGCGCGTGTCGGCGAGAAAGCATGCCGGGCAGGGCGCGAAGTCTTCATTCCTGAGAGCAATGCATCAGGATGAAAACAGGCGGTCCCGAATCCAAATCCGCAATCTGCAGAGGGAAGCCACAAGAAGGGACAGAATTTGGCATAAGGATTGGGGATTGACGTTGAACAACCCATGGAGAGGAGCGACAATTCCATTTCGGCCGAGTCAGCAAAGCCTGTCCTTGTGACAGCAAATCTGTCAACAAACACTATGCATGTATGTGTATATGTATATATATAAGTATACATATATTCACGCGACTCCAGAAAATGATGGGTTTCCTCTTGGCTTCCCTTTCAGCCAGGAAAGGGGACCCTGACAAACAACCGAACACCGAAATCTGTGTGCGCGAATGGCTTAGGCCAATGTGTTCACTGCTTGCTTGCTTGATGCTGCGTGTGCCGTGATGTTGGTTGTTGCTTGTGCCGCTGTTGTTGGCACAATCTTGCTTGCCTCTGTGTGTCCCATTGCTTAGCGCTGTTTTCGCTTGGCCGTTGTTCGTTTCTTGGCTTTGCTCGCGGTTGCACTGTTGCAAGCTGCTTGCTAGCTAACTTGGCTGGCTGCGTGCTTTGCTTGCTTGCTTGCGCTCAGGCGTGAGGATAGCAACACATTGTTTGAGCCTGTCGTGTTTGCTCTCTTGAGCCTCTCTTGCACCCCTCATTCATGGTTTCCGTGGGTGCCAGCCGGATCGAATTGACCCCTACATGCAGCAAGAAGTCGGCCCTGGTCACTGATGCATGAGCAATAGCAACACTGAAAGAACACAAACGTTTAACCAGTCAGCCTACAGCCAGGCGGTTGCATCAGCGTCGTCTGAGATCCAAAGAGGTGAGGGGCAAGTATCCATCACATATGACCACACAAGTTGAGCTGACCCCAACAAATGCGCCCATCTGTAAAGAACCCCCGTTTGGCAAGGGAGAAGCCCAAAGCCAACCTCATTTGCTGAGAACCACTCACTCATCAAGTGGCCAGCAAGCCATCAGGGAAGGTCGTTTCGTTGTCTCAGGTGAGGCTGCCACAGTGCTATCAGGTGACCGGGTTAGTCGCCCCCTTGTTTCGTCGAATTGCTCTTTGCAAAAGAGAAAGAATGGCACACTTCCACAAACTTCCCTGTTTTGGGTGGTCCGGCACTTTTCTGCAAAGAACGATCCTTGCAAAGAATGCGGGGGAAGGACGGCGAAAATACTGCTTGAATCACATGATTCTGGAGGACTGTTGGAACTTGAAGATAAGCCCAGGGACCGCCGTGGGCACCCGCCCCAACCCCCACGAGTCGGAAAGCTCGTGCCAGGTGGCGTCAGGATGTCCTTGGCGCCGGGAAATGGATCGCTCGACTTTTGAGTTTCGGCCATGCGGCCTTCAAAAACTCCGCGCGCTTGCGGCAACGAGAAATCCCCTGGTTATATGCTCCGGTGTTCTGCCAGCATTGTTAGTGTTGGAGGTAACTCGAGTCAAACCGTCAACCTAAGATTGGCTGGAGAACCACGGCGGCACTGTTGTTTCCTGCTTGCCCGTTGCTTTTGCAATTGCAGCCAGAAGGTTGAACTGCCCTGCCCCCACAAACGTTGCGAGGAACAGGGAAGCTTTGCCCAGTATTTAGGCCTACTGCTGTGAAGAGGGGAGTCTATTTCAAGAGCACGCAGCCACTAGCACACATGAAAGGACCTGCAAAGAAAGCAGGCTTCCCAACCCATCCTGGCAAATGAAACACGTGGAATGGGAATATAGACCTTGAAGCCAACCAAACAAACGGAGAGCTTCATGACGACCTTTAAGGTGATCCAACGTTGGTTTGCTGTATCATCCGGCCACGTGCTTCCATGCCATTCTTTCCAAACTCTTAACCTGCCTGGGGTCGCCCCACAAGAACTCATCAAGTACCTTTGGATCAATGCGAGTTTTCTATGGGCGTCAGGGACAACAAACACAGAGTCTATGATCCGCAGATTCTCGAAGTTCGCCCTGCTTTCACTTCAATGCTCCAGTGGTTTTAAAGATTCTGGATGGCCTTGATAATTTAACTAGTTGGGGAATGCTGCGGTGTTTGGATGTGACATCACCCAGCCCAGCCGAAACTCACTAGGAGTTGAGTACGTACTGCTTGAAATATCGGGCTGGAAATCTAGCTGGACCCCCGCATACCCGGGTTGTACTTGACAGGTTCAGTGTTAACGAGGGATAACGAGGGATGGTCGGACGAGTCAGATGTTGATGCGAAGCAACGCCGCCGTTGTCTCAGCTCAGGCGCAAAGCCTCGGTCCATAGCGGTCACGAAGCGCTCGTGCGCCACCTACGGCCATCGTGGCCGTTGGAGCAGGAACGCCATACGCCCGCAAATGGCATTCCGTTTGGTCCCATCAAACACCAAGCTGAGAAAGGGTACCTCACACAACGCTGGGCGGTTGCTGGAAAGTCACACCAGAATCCCCGTTGATGTTGTGCCATGGCCCATGGCCCAAGCTCCCAAACTGTTGGCCTTGGCCATGGGCCCCTTAAGTATACATCCTGGCAGTTGATGTTTCCGGATGCAAGTTGAGTTACTTTTTGGGGACCGCAACGTGCAAATGGGAGGCAATGAATGATGACGTAGTTTCAAGAGGCTTTAACTAGGAACCAACTCTGAAAACACTTGTCCGGGTCTTCATTCATGCTCGCCCCACCGCAACTCCTCTTCTCACAAACAACTCAGAGAGCAAAACGGCTTTCTAAACCACCATCGGGGCTCTTTAGGTTCGTTAAACAAATTCTTAA